CTCTGGTGAAGCTTTCTCAGGTGTTTCTCTGCTGAAGCTTTGGCTAACTTTCTCAAAACACTGTCATAGTGAGCAGATGTTACTGATCTTTGGCCCTCTAGAAAGTCAACGAGAAAAATGCCTTGAGCTTTCCCCAAAAAGCTGTTGCGGTGACCTTTGTTGTTGACTGGTCTGCTTCTGCTGTGACAGGATCACGTCCGCCTCTCTGTAGCTATTGCTTTGATTGTGCCTTGTCTTCAGGATCACACTGGGAAACCCGTTTCATGTCCTGTTACAGTTCTTCAAAGAAACGCCTCAGGATCTTGATCTCACTTGTTTGAAATTTCCATTGAAAGCTCTGCTCTTGTTTGCAGCTGATCTGAGAGCAATGGCATTGGCACCCATTGAGTAGAAAGTTCGCCCAACTTTAATTTTTCAGTCAGAATTGTGTGAGCTGCACCAGTTGAGATATCTGTGGTGTTAGCTATTGTTTGTGCTGTTAATTATTGCTCATCTTCAATTAGGGCATGAACAAGATAATTTTTTTCCTTGCAAATTGATGTAGATGGTCTGCTGCTGCAGCCATCATCTTCAATATCATCTTGTCCCTTCTTAACAAGTTATCTCTGTAAATCGCTAATTTCTTCGGGGCTTTGTCCCCATAAACTTTTCTTAAAGCACCAGTGATTTCACTATTCATCCATCCAAAGCTTCACCATAAATGTTGATGTTTGTTCTTCAATTTTGGCAGAATTCATGTTACTCTGAGAGACGCTCAAGTTAATGTCTTATCCTTCTTAGTGCCTCAAATGAAATCCCATTCAGATATGTTATAACAAGTTAGTATGAGTTTATTTTGGTGCAAAATAAATTGAAATCCTTGTGTAATTTTTTCATATCATGTGTTTTCCATGAACTTTTCCAAGTCCCCTTGTATAAGATTATTATATGATTCATTTTTTGTTGTTGTTGTTGTTTTGAGATGTGCAATGGCACAATTTCGGCTCACTGCAACCTCCAACTCCCGGGTTTAAGCAATTCTCCTGCCTAAGCCTCCCGAGTGGCTGGAATTACAGGCATCTGCTACTACACCAAGCTAATTTTTATATTTTTAGTAGAAACAAGGTTTTACCATGTTAGTCAGGCTGGTCTCGAACTCTTGACCTCAGATGATCCACCCACCACAGCCTCCCAACGTGCTGGGATTATAGGCATGAGCCACTGTACCCAGCTTTTATGATTTCATTTATGTGAAATTTTAGAATAGGCAAAACTATACTGATAGAAGACTAAGTGGTTATCTGGTGTTGGAATGGGGTAGAGATTCTGCAAAGGGGGATGAGTGAACTCTTTTGGGGTGATATTTGGGATGATAGTAATTTATTTTTTTTTTTTTGAGATGGAGTCTAACTCTATTGCCCAGGTTGGAGTGCAGTGGTGTGATCTCTCAGCTTACTGCAACTTCTGCCACCCAGGTTCAAGCAATTCTCTTGCCTCACCCTCCTGAGTAGCTGGGATTACAGGCGCCTGCCACCGTGCCCAGCTAATTTTGTATTTTTAGTAGAGACAGGGCATCTTGGCCAGGCTGGTCTTGGAACTTCTGACCTAGTGATCCACCTGCCTTGTCTCCCAAAGTGCTGAGATTACAGGCATGAGCCACTGCACCCAGCTGATAGTAATGTTTTATATCTTGATTGTTATGGTGATTACATGGGTATATACATTTGTCAAAAATCAAACTATACTCTTTTTTTTTGAGATGGAGATTGCTCTGTAGCCCAGGCTGGAGTGCAGTGGTGCAATCTGAGCTCACTGCAACCTCTGCCTCCTGGGTCCTGGTTCAAGCGATTCTCCTGTCTCAGCCTCCACAGTAGCCGGGATTATAGGCACGTGCCACCATGCCCCGCTAATTTTTGTATTTTTAGTAGAGATGGGGCTTCACTATGTTGGCCAGGCTGGTCTTGAACTTCTGAACCTCAGGAGATCTGCCTGCCTCAGCCTCCCAAAATTCGGGGATTACAGGCATCAGCCACCACACCTGGCTTATACTCTTTTTTTTTTTTTTTTTTTTTTTGAGAAGGAGTCTTACTCTGTCACCGGGCTGGAGTGCAGTGGCGCGATCTCAGCTCGCTGCAACCTCTGCCTCCTGGGTTCAAGCAATTTTCCTGCCTCAGCCTCCCAAGTAGCTGAGACTACAGGATGCGCCACCACGCCCAGCTACTTTTTGTATTTATAGTAGAGACGGGGTTTCACCATGTTGGCCAAGATGGTTTTGATTACTTGAACTTGTGATCCTCCTGCCCGGGCCTCCCAAAGTGCTGGGATTACAGGCGTAAGCCACTGTACCAGGCCTGTTTTTTTTTTTTTTTTTTTTTGAGACAGAGCCTCCCTCTGTTGCCCAGGCTGGGGTGCAGTGGCGCAATCTGGGCTCACTGCAACCTCTGCTTCCTGGATTCAAGTAATTTTCCTGCCTCGGCCTCCTGAGTAGCTGGGATTATAGGCATATACCACCATGCCTGGCTAATTTTTCTATTTTTAGTAGAGACAGGGTTTCACCATGTTAGTCAGGCTGGTCTTGAACTCCTGACCTCAGGTGATCCACCCACCTCGGCCTCCCAAAGTGCTGGGATTACAGGCGTGAGCTACCTTGTCAGGCCCTAAATTTTATGTTAATAGGTTCCCTCTATACCTCCAGTACTGGGACTTGGAATTTTTCACTCATGAATTTCATGGACTTTAAAAAATATTAGTAATATTGATCTAAATTATTCTTTAAAATATTCTGTGGCATTTCATTGTGTAGCTATACCATCATTTATTTAACTTTTTATCATTGATGGACATTTAAATAGTTTTCCTTTTTTTTTTTTTTACTATTATCAGCAAGACTACATAAATATCTTTTGACATACATATTTGCATAATAATGCATGTACTTTTTAGGGATAGATTATCCTTTTTTTTAAGGTTAGAGACAGGGTCTCACTCTGTCACCCAGGCTGGAGTGCAGTGATGCAGTGCGAGCTCACTGAAACCTCAAGCTCCTGGGCTCAAGAGATCCTTCGTGTCAGTCTCCTCAGCCTCCCTAGTATGTGGACTCCACATGCATGTCACCATGCCTGGCTAATTAAAAAAAAAATTTTTTTTTGTAGAGATGAAGGCTTCTTTTTTTTTTTTTTGAGATGGAATTTAGCTCTGTCGCCCAGGCTGGAGTGCAGTGGCACCATCTCAGCTCACTGTAACCTCTGCCTCCTGGGTTCAAGCAATTCTCCTGCCTCAGTCTCCTGAGTAGCTGGGATTACAGGTGCCTGCCACCATACCCAGCTAATTTTTGTATTTTTAGTAGAAACAAGGTTTCACTGTGTTGGCCGGGCTGATCTCGAACTCATGACCTCATGATTTGCCCGCCTCTGCCTTCCAAAGTGCTGGTGTGAGCCACCTCACCTGGCCCAAGATGGAGTGTTGATATGTTTCCCAGGCTGATCTTGAACTCCTCGTCTCAAGTGATTCTCCCACCTTGGCTTTCCAAAGTGATAGGATTACAAGTGCAAGCCTGGCACCTTGGGATAGATTTTTTTTTTTTTTTTGAGACGGAGTTTCGCTCTTGTTACCCAGGCTGGAGTGCAATGGTGCGATCTCGGCTCACCGCAACCTCCGCCTCCTGGGTTCAGGCAATTCTCCTGCCTCAGCCTCCTGGGTAGCTGGGATTACAGGCACGCGCCACCATGCCCAGCTAATTTTTTGTATTTTTAGTAGAGACGGGGTTTCACCATGTTGACCAGGATGGTCTCGATCTCTTGACCTCATGATCCACCTGCCTCGGCCTCCCAAAGTGCTGGGATTACAGGTGTGAGCTACCGTGCCCGGCAGAGATAGATTTTTAGATGCAAAATTATGCATCTGGATGTGACCACATTTTCCTCTAGAGAAGACTGACTAGTAGAACTTTCTTCAGTGATGGGAATGTTCTGTGTCTGCCTTGTTTAATATCGTAGCCACTAGCCACAGGTGACTGACTACTGAGCACTTGGAATGGGGCTAAGTGCAACTAAGCAATGCCCCCACATCTGCTCATATCTGCATTATTTGTTTAGCTTCCACAATGATTTGCTTCCCAAAAAGTTCTGCGGCTAAAAAGTGTGAAAAGTTCTAAGTTAAGACCTTTCCAAACGCCTTTCCAGCTCAATGGGGCCAGTCTAATTAGGCAGAGGTCAGACATCGTGGGATGTGTAAGTACAGGAGGTCAGTAGAATATTTGTGATTTTTTTTTTTTAGATGGAATCTCACTCTGTCAACCTGGCTGGAGTGCAGTGCCACAATCTCAGCTCACTGCAACCTCTGCCTCCTCCTCCAACCATTCTACTGCCTCAGCTTCCCGAGCCGCTGAGATTATAGGTGCCTGCCATCATGACTGGCTAATTTAATTTTGGGGCTTTTTGTTTGTTTTTGTTTTTGTTTTTGGGATTCAGTCTCTCTCTGTTGCCCAGGCTGGAGTGCAATGGTGCGATCTTGGCTCACTGCAACCTCTGCCTCCTGGGTTCAAGTGATTCTCCTGCCTCAGCCTCTTGAGTAGCTGGGACTACAGGCGAGTGCCACCATGCCCAGCTTATTTTTGTATTTTTAGTAGAGATGGGGTTTCACCATATTGGCCAGGATGGTCTCAATCTCTTGACCCCATGATCTACCTGTCTCGGCCTCCCAAAGTTCTGGGATTACAGGTGTGAGCCACCGTGCCTGGGCCTAATTTTTGTATTTTTAGTAGAGAAGAGGTTTTACCAAGTTGGCCAGGCTGGTTTCAAACTCCTGACTGTAGCTGATCTGCCTGTCTTGGCCTCCCAAGTGCTGGGATTACAGGCATGAGCCACTGCGTCTGGCCAGTGAATTTTGTTATGAGAGCAAGAACATTTAAAACCCATACATTTACAAATTGATGTTTGTTTGGGTTAAGGCCTTGGTGAAGGTTGACCAGAAGTCACCCTGTGGACTGTCAGCATCTTGAGTATCCTCTTTCTCTCTTTCAGGGTAAAAGCCCCAAAGCTGTCATCAGCATTAAGGACTTGAATGCCACCTTCCAGACAGAGAAGATAGGGCACCCACACGGGCTGCAGATCACCTACAGGAGAGATAGCCACGTCAGGAACCTGTTTGTGTATCATGAAAGTGGGAAGGTGAGATGCCTGGAGTTGCCACCTCTGCCTCCAGCTCACACCCCAGGACTCAGCAGGTGCAGCATACCACCTCCCCTGCTCACTAGTGCTGTGCTCAGCTGCCTCTTGAGATTTTTTGCTGCCATTTGCCTTAATCTTTCGTCACTTCTCGATCTGAGACAAAAATATGAGGAGGGAAGGGTGAGATCAGGGAGAGGAACCTGGCAAGTGCCATGGCTAGCCACCAATGTACAGTCACCAATGGAAGTCCAGTTACAGAAGTGACTATGCCCAGGGATGCAAAACCAGGTAGAGCTAGAGATTCTGAAACTGGGGGAGGAACTGATAGATGGTCAGGCGGCAGTGCACCCTGGGACCTGTTTCTCAACATGTGGTCCTGGCCCAATAGCACTGGCATCAGCCAGGAGCTTGTTAAAAATAGTCTCAAGGCTGTGCATGGTAGCTCCTTACCTGTAATCTCAGCACTTTGGGAGGCCAAGGCAGAAGGATCACTTGAACCCAGGAGTTTGAGACCAGCCTGGTAACATAATGAGACCCCATCTTTATCCCAAAATACCCCCAAAATTAGCTAGGCATGGTGGCATGCACCTGTAGTCCCAACTACTTGGGTGCTGACGTGGGAGGATCGCTTGAGCCTGGGAGATTGAGGCTGCAGTGAGCCATGATCATGGCACTGCACTCCAGCCTGGATGACAGCTCAGGACTCTGTCTCAAAACAAACAAACAAACAAAAAGAACAGAAAGAAAGAAAAATAGAATCTGAGGCCCACCCTGGACCTACTGAGTTAAAAACATTAAAAAAAAAAAAAAAAAAAAAGAAAGAGAGACTGGGTATGGTGGTTCATGTCTATAATCCCAGCCCTATGGGAGGCTGAGGAAGACAGATTAGGAGGTCAGGAGTTCAAGACCAGCCTGGCCAACATAGTGAAACTCTGTCTCTAAAAATACAAAAATTAGCTGGGCATGGTGGCACGTACCTGTAGTCCTAGCTACTTGGGAGGCTGAGGCAGGAGAATTGCTTGAACCTGAGAGTTGGAGGTTGTAGTGAGCCTGAGCCTATACTCCAGCTTGGGCAACAGAGTGACACTTTGTCTCAAAAAAATAAAATCAATAAAAGAAAGAAAAAAGAAAAGAAACTGCATTTTAACAGGATCCCAGGTGAGTCTTGTGCACATTAAAGTTTGAGAAACACTTTTTTTTTCTTACTTTCGAGACAGAATCTCACTCTGTTGCCCAGGCTGGAGTGCAGTGGCCTGATCTCGGCTCATTGCAATCGCCTCCTCCGGGGTTCAAGCGATCCTCCTGCCTCAGCCTCCTGAATGGCTGAGATCACACCTGGCTAATTTTAAAAATATTTTTAGTAGACATGGGGTTTCACCATGTTGGCCAGGCTGGTCTTGAATTCCTGACCTCAAGTGATCTGCTCACCTCAGCCTCCCAAAGTGCTGGGATTATAGGTGTGAGCCACTTCCCAGGTGAGAAGCACTATTTAATAGTCCAAGAAATCAGCCCAGTCAGAGACCAGCAGGCCAATATGAGAGAATAAACTGGGTCAGCTTCTGAGCAGAGTTACCTGACTGGACAGGGGACAGAGATGCTAAGTGGGGGTGGATGAAGGTGGGCGCTGACATTTTGCGAGCATCTATTAACTCCCTTGGGCACTGCTTTTGGTGATCACGGTCCATCATTTCTTAATCCTCAAAATAAGCCCCACATTACTGAGGCATGGACATGTTAGTAACTTGCTCAGGATCACAGCCAGTGGTTCCTGAGCCCTGAACGCACTTTACCACCCCATGCGCCTCTGTACTGTAGGGAGGACCCTTGGCAGCAGAAGCCAGGAACCAGATGCAGGAACTAGACCTTCCCAAGGGGCCCTAGCACCATGGCCCTAGCCCCCACTCCATGCCAATAACTGCCACAAGGACTTCTGTTGAGGCACCTAAGGTTGCTGGTATTTAGGATACACAGCTCCCTCCTATCTGCCCAGTATGGTGCATCTGACAACCTGGGTCTGGCCATTCTTCTCTTTTGCTTGATACGCCAGCCTCTCTATTAGATGAGCATAAGTGAGGGCTGCAAATTCCTGCCTGCAGGAGTCAGGGGGTGATTTTTTTTTTCCTTTTTTAGTTTTAATTTTTTTTTAAATATGGAGACAAGTTCTCGATATGTTGCCCAGGCTGGAGTGCAGTGGCTATTCACAGGCGCCATCCCACCACTGATCAGCATGGGAGTTTTGACCTGCTCTGTTTCTGACCTGGGCTGGCTCACCCCTCCTTAGGCAATCTGGTGGTCCCCCACTCCTGGGAGGTCACCATACTGATGCCAAACTTAGTGCAGACACCTGATCGGCATAGCGCACTACAGCCCAGAACTCCTGGGCTCAAGCGGATCCTCTTACCTCAGCCTCCTGAGTAGCTGGGACTACAGGCATGAGCCACAGTGCCCAGCCAAGGGGTAATTTAAAAGCTAAGTGGGGCCAGACTACTCAAGAAGCTGAGGCAGGAGAATCGTTTGAAGCCAGGAGTTGGAGGTTGCAGTGAGCCAAGATCACGCCACTGCACTCCAGCCTGGGCGACAGAGCGAGAATCCATCTAAAAAAAAATTAAGTAAAATAAAAAAAGCTAAGTGTACAGGTTTAAGGGGTGGGGAGGGGGCTGTGGCAAACAGGGAAACCTTCATGGAGGATTAAAACAAACAAAACTTTGGGAGCCACACAAAAATGTATGCAGGTTGTATTTGGCACCAGGGTCACCAGATTGTGACAGGAGAGACTTTCCAGGGTGAAGGCCTAGGCTTGTCTTTTCTCCTTATTCCCTTAGTGCCTGAGACCTGAGAAGGTTCTTTTTTTTTTTTAGGTGGAGTCTTGCTCTGTCACTCAGGCTGGAGTGCAGCAGAACGATCTCAGCTCACTGCAATTTCCGCCTCCTGGGCTTAAGCAATTCTCTAGCCTCAGCCTCCCCAGTAGCTGGGATTATAGGCATGTGCTACCATGCTCGGCTAATTTTGTATTTTTAGTAGTGATGGGGTTTCACCATGTTGGTCAGGCTGGTCTCAAACTGCTAACCTTAGGTGATCCACCTGCCTCGGCCTCCCAGAGTGCTAGGATTATAGGCATGGGCCACTGAGCTTGGCCAGAGGGTTCTTAATGAACTCCAGGACAAAAGAGCACAGAGACCTGGAATACTAGGCCTGTGTGCTTCGCCTATGAGAGAGAAAGGGAAATGGTTTCATTCATTTGAAACCACATTCAGATGATTTTCTCAATCACCATATTATATCTAAGTCCCAAACTGTGACTATTTGAACCAGTCTTTTAGCCACCCAATTTCAAATTCCTGGGAGAAGAAATCTGATAAGCGCAGTCCAGCCTCTGTATTGGTCCAGGCCTGGTCCAGTTGCTGTGGTTAAGCAGGGGCAGGATCACAGCAGTAAGTGGGGCTGCAACTGGAGGTGGGTGAGGATAGGTAGGGTAGGAGCAGGGCTTGTGCTGAGCGAGCACCGACAATCTATCTATTACAATATGAAAACTAACCTGCAGGATAAGTAGAATACTTTAGGTAGAAGGTATGTGTGGGATGGAGTGGATTAAGCAGAATGTCCCAAGAGGCAGGAACAGCAGATGTTGGGAGAATTGCAAATAGTTTCGTGTGGAAGGAGCTCAGACAGCAAAGTCATATTAAAGAACTTAAGACTTTTTTTCTGAGGGTAGTAGACAGGACTCTAAGCCAGACTGATTAGATCTATAATTAGAAAATCACTCTGGCTGCCATGAGAGGGCCAATCAGAGAGCAGCTGATCAAGGCCAGCTAGATACATGATTGTCTAGATGGGAGATGAAGGTGGCCCACGCTGCTGAGAGACGTGTTCTCCCAGAGTGACAGCAGAAGGGACTAAGCCAGCTTTGGTCTAAGATGCCATAAGCATCCTCATTAGAGGAGCCTCCTCAAGCATACCTGCTCCCCACCCTAATGCCAGTCTTTGACATCTGAGGACAATGATTTCCTAGAGCCTTGCTCCTTCGAGTGTGTTCCACTGATTAGCAGCGTCATCACCTGAGAGCGTGTTAGGAATGCAGAGTCTCAGGCCCCATTCCAAACCTACTAAATCTGCCTCTGCATTTTAACAAGAGCCTCAGGTGATTTTGCATGCATTAGAAGGTGAAAAGCACTGTCTGAGGCCATTGCAGAACTCCTGTGCGGTTCACCCCATCCTTTCCCAGGGCTCTGGGCTTATCCCTGTTAGAGGCTTCCCGTTTGCCCAGGTTAGCCCAGGAGACTCTGACACAGTCCTCCCTGGATGCCCCTGAGCTGAGCTGTGGGGTGTGTGCAGGCACTGAAAGCATGTGCTCCACACCCAATGCCCAGCTAGCTTCTGCCATCAGACTCAGCCTCCTACCCACCCCATCTCACTGCTGTGTGTGTCCTGTGCACTTCTCTCGGCAGGAGATAGTGGACTGGTTCAATGCTCTCCGTGCAGCCCGTCTGCAGTACCTAAAAATGGCCTTTCCTGAGCTCCCGGAGTCTGAGGTGAGCTAAACATGGACCCCAACTTCTGAATCTCCTCTCAGACATCTTCTTTCCATGTCTGTTGACCTCAAAGACACTCAGAAGCCAGACTAGGTTTGTTTGCAGGCAAGACCTCAAGATTGAGGGCTGGGCAGCTCCAAGGGAAACCCAAGGCATTCTCCAGGGGAGTCTGGGGATTACAGCCTCACATACAACAAGGCAGCCTCACAGAAGCAGGTTAGTTTCTCTCCTTCAGGAGAGCATCAAGGAGCTCAGCAGTTGGTCATCTCTTTCTCACCTCTTCTCCCTCTAAAATGTACGAATGATCCCTCACATATTGCTCACAGACTGTTTTGTACTGTGAAATGACAGCCAGGCAGGGGTGATTATTTTCATTTTATTGATGAGATATACAGTCCCAGGAAGGGCAGGTGAATAACCAAAGGTGCTCTTCCCTTTCTAACATCCCTGCTTTGCCCCGTGATGCTCTGGGCTTGGGAAAGCCTGGGATCCTCCACATTACAGTTGTAACAGGAGCAGGTCTGCCCTCTGTGGTCAACAGCGTGGGGAGCCAAGAACTTCATTTGGATTATTACCAGACTTCTGGGGCCTCCATCTCCCTCCTCAGGCTGGGCTGGGGAGGCACACATAGTGTGGGGCAGAGGATGCAGCCTTGAGCCAGGAAGCCTGGGCTCTCAGGGATGCTCTATTGCTCACTTGCTGTGTGACCCCTGCAGGTCCTGGCACCTCTCTGAGCTTGTTTCCATATTAGTGAGATGGCAGTTAGTTGAGGTCATCTTCAGGGTCCCTTCTGGCTCTGAGGTTCTATGCTCTGGTCCTTTTCTTTTTTTCTTTTTTGAGATGGAGTCGTGCTCTGTCACCAGGCTGGAGTGCAGTGGCACAATCTCAGCTCACCTCAGCCTTCACGCCCCGGGTTCAAGCAATTCTCCTGCCTCAGCCTCCCGAGCAGCTGGGACTATAGGCATGCACCAGCACACCTAGCTAATTTTTGCATTTTTTTTTAGTAGAGATGGGGTTTCACCATGTTGGCCAGGATGGTCTTGAACTCTTGATCTTGTGATCTGCCCACCTAGGCCTCCCAAAGTGCTGGGATTACAGGTCTGTCACTGTGCCCAGCCTGCTCTGGTCCTTTTCAAGAGGCTCCCCTCTAAGAGGATTTTGTAAGTGATGGGGGTGGAAAACCATTTTAATGTTGGGATTTTCTTATTCCCAACCATTAGAGACTCCTTGAAAGCCTAAATGTTTCTTAATTCCAAGGTCTGTAGGGGGCTAGGTGTCTGGAATGGGGTCCTCTCTGGGCCCAGGGATGTGCTGAGATGGCAGTTGTCTGGGAGCAATTCCAGCAAGGCCTGGGTCACAGCCCTTGAGTCAGTCTGCTGAGTTTGCACCCAGAACTAGTTAATGCTGGCTCTCATGGGTGGGGACTGCAGAGTGCTGACTGCTGACTGTGAGGAGAGAGGACAAGGTGCAGATGCTCAGCCTTATTTAAACTGGGCAAGCTTCCCATCTTTGCTGACCCATGTAAAGGAAATTGCTCTTCCGTCAACGTCCTCCATGTTCTCCTGCCTCTCTCATCCACTGTCGGTACCCGATATCCACCCCTGTCTTTCCTCCCATTTAATGTCTGTGTATGGTGTGAGGTTCTGAGCAATCACCAGGCCTGGCTCAAGCTTTAGGGTCCACAGGGCCTGTTGAAAACCCAGGGCATCCCAGTGGGGCTGTGGTCCTGTAATAAATGCATATGGTCTCTGCAGTCCAAGAGCCTGATATGTTACCTAGGGCAAGTCACCTTACCTCTCCGAGCCTCAATGCGCTCATCTGTCACCATGGACACAATACCTACTTTATAGGGCTATTGTGAGACTCCAGCGAGCCAAGGCATCTGAAGTGTGGGAAGCAGTGCTCCAGCCGTGTGATTTGTCTTTCTCTCCCAATGGTTTCCCTAGGCCTCTACTTGCTCTGCGCTAGCTCGAATTCAGAATATTGAATAGTTAAGGACTCCATCTATTTTCTCCAAATGGACGAATTAAAGCCTACTGAATGTATTTTAGAAGAAGAGTAGTATAGTTTATATTTTCTTTCTTATATTTAAAACATTTTTTATTCGTTGTAGAGATGGGGTCTCACTTCTGTTGCCCGGGCTGGTCTCGAATTTCTGGCCTCAAGCAATCGTCCTACCTCAGCCTCCCAAAGTTCTGGGATTATAGGTGTGAGCCACTACATCTGACCTATATTTTCATTTTTGGCTCACAACCTTCCCCCTTTTAGACTTCCTATGGCTGTTCCCAAGACCTCATTTTCCCTGTGCCCCTACCCTGGGCCCTGGAGCTCTGGAGAAGCTCCTTTGTTCTTAGAAGCCTGGACTGTTGTTTGAAGCTCTAGACTTTCCAAGTTGAAACCCAGGAGCATAGGAGGCCATCATCAACCCCTGGAAAATTCTCTAAGTGCAGGCTGCCCGGCTGGAAGGGACGCTGGGGATCACATGATCCAGGTTGCTTATCACACAGAGGAGACATAAGGCCTCGAAAGATGGCAGGTCTTACAAAGGCAATGTAGCTCCTGGAGGCCAGAACTGGAGCTAGAATCGGTTCTCCCTACTCCTGCTTCAGAACTTCCTCTGTCCACTCTGGCATCATTTTCTTTGCTTTTTTTTTTTTTTTTTGAGATGGCATCTCACTCTGTCAGGCTGGAGTGCCAGGCTGGAGTACAGTGGCACGATCTCGGCTCACTGCAACCTCTGCCTCCCAGGTTCTAGGGATTCTCCTGCCTTAATCTCCTGAGTAGCTGGGATTACAGGCACATGCCACCATGCCCAGCTAATTTTTGTATTTTTGGTAAAAGTGGGGTTTTGCCATGTTGTCCAGGCTAGTCTCAAACTCCTGGCCTCAAGTGATCCACCTGCCTTGGCCTCCCAAAGTGCTGGGATTACAGGCGTGAACCACCACGCCCAGCCTCTGGCGTCATTTTCTCATTACTCTTTGTCAGAATCCTGACCAATGACCAGGCCTTGCTCAAGGTCCTGCTCAGAGAGCCCTGGCCTGTTTATACTTATCCCTCTGGTGTAGTGGCTGGAGTACAGTCTAGTGTCATCAGCCCTGGGCGTGAATCTCAGCTCTTCATGCTTCCAGTGATGTGACTTTAGGAAAACCCCCAACCCCTTCTCTGTGGCCTGGTTTCTTCAGATGTGTAATGAGGCTGGTGATACCCACCTCGCAGGGTGATTGAGAATTGCACCTGGAGCCTGACGCAAAGTGGACCCTCAGAACATGTTCCCTGACACCAAGAGTCTCCGTAGAGCCTTGCCTAGGTCCATATGCTGGGGTTGCTGAAGGGGTCCTTGCCCTGAGAACTTGTCGTGCCAGTAAGCTCTGCAAGCATCTGGGGTGCTGTCAACTGGCTTTGTTGAAATATTAATATTACATCCATTGCACTTTCCAAATATAATACCATGAAACATGAGCATACATCCTTCCCCATTTCAAACTTCCCCTTGGTCGGGAGCCAAGCTAGGCAGGGAACCTGGAGCCTTGGGATGTGAGTTGGGGGTCAGTGTCTGTCTCTCTTCCCCAGCTCGTGCCATTCCTCACCAGGAACTACCTCAAACAAGGCTTCATGGAAAAGACTGGGCCAAAGGTACCTTCTACCATTCCTGGGGAACTTACATGGTTTAATGTGTATAAAAGGTTTAATGTGTTAATGGGATGATTTTTAAGAGGACAGTGAAAGGTGTTAGGCCAAGCTTGTCCAGCCCACAGCCCATAGGGCACTTGCAGCCCAGGACGGCTTGGAATGAGGGCCAAAACAAATTTGTAAACTTTCCTTTTTTTGTTTTTTGAAACAGAGTCTCACTCTGTCACCCAGCTGGAGTTCAGTGGCATGATCTCAGCTCACTGCAACCTCCGCCTCCTGGGTTCAAGCAATTCTCCTGCCTCAGCCTCCCAAGTAGCTGGGACTACAGGCACCCACATCATGCCCTGCTAATTTTTGTATTTTTAGTAGAGCGGGGTTTCACCATGTTGGCTAGGCTGGTCTTAAACTCCTGACCTCAAGTGATCCGCCCACCTCGGCGTCCCAAAGTGCTGGGATTATAGGCATGAGCCACCGCTCTCGAACAAATTCATAAACTTTCTTAAAACATTATGAGATAGTTTAACGATTTTTTTTTCTTGTCACATCAGCTACCATTAGTGTATTTTATGTGTGGCCCAAGACAATTCTTCTTCTAATGTGGCCCAGGGAAGACAAAAGATTGGATATCCCTATTTTAGGCAGTCGTTGTGAAAGCAAGCCTTGGGCAGGTGGAAAAAGTAGTCAAAGGGTTGTTTTCTGTTTTCTTCCTTCACTAGCCAAGGTGCAGCCCCTCCCGCGGTTCTCACTGCGGGGCTTTCTCTCCCTGCCCTGAGTCAGATTTTGGCCGAGGCCAGCACTTTCAGCCTTGCCAAGCAGTAGCCACTTCTGATTTTCCCCAGACTTCCTTTTTCTCTAACTTCTTTGTCCACGGCCTGAGAAAGAGGAAAGTGCCTTTTCCAACTCAAGGCAATACCTGGAGGCAGCGGTGAAGCTGGGAGAGGGTAGGGTGGGGTTGGAAGGGGAACGAGCAGAACCTTCAGAGCCTGAGAGCTCCTGCCTGGGCCCCAGGGAGAAGCACTAGGGTGGCTGGGCGGGAGAACCAGTGGGACTGGCCAGTTCCCTTGGCTTGGCCTGGGCTGGCCCCTGACCTCTGTCTTCAGAAACTGACTTCGTCATCTGTGGTAAGAGGTTCCCTCTTTTGCAGCAGAAAGAACCCTTTAAGAAAAGGTGGTTCGCCCTGGATTCCCATGAGCGGAGGCTGCTCTATTACAAGAACCCACTGGTAAGAGCCACTCCTGCTCCCTCCATAGGGCTTCCTCAAACAGAGCTGGGTAGTGCTTGTCTGGGACTATGTGAAAATTACAGATAAACACATCTTCCAGGGCCCCAGAGCTAGAGAAACCTCCAGAGGAAAACCTCTACCCCTTGTTTTTGTTTCTCTTGAAGTAATCTGTGGCATGAAGATTCTCTCCCCTCGCTTTCAGAAAGTCCATTATGAGTATCCAAATGCTGCCCCTGGTAGTTAAATAAGGTGTATTTCCTCCTCTAGTTTCCAGGGCTCACTTCTAACCAAGAGACTGTGACGTGTAGTGGTTAGGAGTGCGGTGGACTCTAGAACCCGGCTGTCTGGGCTCTGGTCTCAGCCCTGCCACTTGTAGTAGTGTTGCCCTGGGCTGAGCACTTAGCTCCTCTGAAAAACAGGTTTCATAAGAATGCCTTCCCCAGAGGTTGCCATGATGGTTATATGAGTTACTATATGTAAAGCATTGTAATTCCTTATTTTAATAAGCTCTCCATACATGTTAGGTATCACTTATTTATTTTTTTAGAGAGTCTCTCTCCCAGGTTGGAATGCAGTGGCACCATCACAGCTCATTGCATCCTTGAACTTCTGGGCTCAAGGTATCTTCGTGCCTCAGCCTCCTGAGTAGCTTGGAACACAGGCATGCACCAACATGCCCAGTTAATTAGAAAAAAATTTTTTAGGGCTTGGGTGCAGTGGCTCTTGCCTTTACGTAATCCCAGAACTTTTGGAGGCTGAGGCAGGAGGATCGCTTGAGCACAGAAGTTTGAGACCAGCCTGTGCAACATAGTGAGATCCATCTCTACAAGAAATTTAAAAATTAGCCGGGCGTGGTGGCGCATGTCTGTAGTAGTCCTAGCTACTTGGGAGGCTGAAGTGAGAGGATCAAGCCCAGGAGGTTGAGGCTGGGATGAACCATGATTGTGCCACTGCACTTCCAGCCTGGGTGAAGAGTGAGACCCTATCTCCAAAAACAATTCACAATAATAGTAATTAATAAAAGTTTTTTGTAGAGACAGGGTCTCCCTGTGTTGCCCAGGTTGATCTCATATTCTTGGCCTCAAGTAATCCTCTGCCTAGGCTTTCCAAAGTGCTGGGATTACAGGCATGAACTACCAGGTCCACCCTCAGTATCTTTTCTTTTCTTTCTTTCTTTTTTTTTAAAGATGGTGTTTCACCATGATGGCCAGGCTGGTCTTGAACTCCTGACCTCAGGTGATCCACCCACCTCAGCCTCCCAAAGTGCCAGGATTACAGGCGTGAACCACCGAGCCCGGCCTCTTTTCAACAGATGATGTGTATGATTTATTTCAGGGTTTTGATCTTTCAAAATCTTTCCCAAAATAGTGCTTGGAGGCTGTCAGGGCTGCAGGGCCTCTCTTCCCTTGGGGCACCCTCTGATGACCCTGTACCCTCTATTTTCAGGATGCCTTCGAGCAGGGCCAGGTTTTTCTTGGGAACAATGAGCAGGGATATGAAGTCTATGGAGACCTGCCCAAGGGCATCCGAGGGAATCGCTGGAAAGCCGGACTCACCATTGTCACCCCAGAGAGGAGATTTGTCCTCACTTGCCCCAACGAGAAGGAGCAGCAGGAATGGCTGGAAAGTTTGTGGGGTGTCCTTTCCAGCCCCTTGACGCCCCTCAGCCACCTCAGTAAGAAGCAGGAACTGAGGAGTGTTATTTCGGCCAAGGGCAGAAAGCAGAAAGGAGCTTCTTCACTTAGGTTCAGCTGTGATGCCACAAAAGATTCCTGATCCCTGCCTATGCTCTTTCCACTGTCTTCTCTTCCTGCAAAAGAAAAGCACAGACATGCACATTACTGCCAAAAAGTCTCCTCTGTCCAGCCCATGTTCCCCTAACAGAGCTGTTCCCCAGGAGCTTTTAGAGGAGTTTGTCCCTGGCAGAACCCCTGGTGCTGTCTGTACCCCTCGCAGTGTGGGGGCTGAGCAGCTTCTCTCTCCCTCCACCCTCCTCTCTGCTGATCCTTTTTCTCGTGAGAAAACCCTGGCCTGTTATTATTAGCTAAGATCACACCCGCTGGGCAGCTCCTGGGATTTTTGGATTCCTCCCCACTTCAGAGCTATTTCTAGTGGCTTCTTTTCTCCGAGTCCTCCCTTCTGCCTGCTTCTCTCCTGCTCCTCCTCTTTACCAGTAGGCCTTCCTCAGTGCTGACAGCCCTGTGAAAAAAGAGGAGACATGCTGAGCTCCAGCAGGAAACTGCTGGCCCAGGCCCTGGCTTCTGGGGCTCAAAGGAGAATTTCTGTGTTTGGAAAAGTACAGACTGAGCAGGTGACCCCCGACCGCCCCTTGGGGGAAACCCTTGTACCCTTTGAGTCTGACCGATATAAACACGAACTCTCTTGACTGTCCGACAAAGGCCAAAGCCAGAGAGCCTCAGAAGGGACTTGCAAATTGTGAGTGAGGCGCTCCAGCTGGTGCTTTCTTTTCTCTGTTGGCTGCCGCTTATGCGTTTCTTGGTTTTTCTGTCTCTGTGCCTCTGTCCCTCCACTTTTCTCTCCTTTGCTGGTGTGTGCAGCCCCTCTGACGCCCTGGCTCTCACCCTTTCATTCTGTTTTTTATTCTGACTCCGTGTGTGTGTGTGTGTGTGTGTGTGTGTGTGTGTGTGTTTCTTTCTTTTTTTGAGACAACGTCTTGCACTGTCACCCAGGCTGGCTTGCAATGACGCAATCTCTACTCATTGCAACCTCCTCTTCCTAGGTTCAAGAGACTCTCCTGCCTCAGCCTTCCAAGTAGCTTTACAGGCTTGTGACACCACTTCTAGCTAATTTGTTTTGTATTTTTGATAGAGACAGGGTTTCACCATGTTGCCCAGGCTGGTCTTGAACTCCTGAACTCAAGTGATCTGCCTACCTTGGCCTCCCAAATTGCTAGGATTGCAGATGTGAGCCACTGTGCCCATCCATGGCTCCCTCTGTCTTTATGCGCCTGTCCCTTTGCTGTCCCTCTCCTCCACAGGGCAGCATTGGCATGGCCACCTTCCTCAGCCCTCTTCATTTCCCTTGTAGCTGCATCAACAGAGAGTGGCTGCCACAGCAGGTGACCCATTAACTGAGGAACTGGCTGCTGCTGAACACCTGGAGCTCCTGGTGGGGAGGAGAAGTTCTCACCTTGGGCTTGGCTGCCCACCGTTAGTGCCCTGCAGTCAGCAGCCATCCCTGGCAATGAACTCTGCCAAGACTGAAACTGTGGCTGTGGCTGCATTAGAACCCCATCAGCTCCCTGAGCCTTCCCCACCACCCCACCCTGGAATCTGAGGATCTGGTACATAGATGGACATCCATCCCCTCCTCCCCCATACATACCTAGGCTTGAAATGCCCTACAGGTCCAGAACTTTCTCACATCTGAAATGGAGGCATTGCAATGAAAAGGCATCCACGGCATCATGCAAGTGACATCTTGTAAAAGAAAAAAAGTTTCATTTGAATCTAACCATGAGGAAATCATCAGACAAATCCACATTAGGGGCATTAAATTGTTAAACATCTGACCCAGAATATTCAAAAATGAAGAGTGAAAGATAAAGAAAGTAGTCAATGGCCAAGTGCGGTGGCTCACGCCTGTAATCCCTGTACTTTGGGATTCTGAGGCAGGTAGATCACAAGGTGAGGAGATCAAGACCATCCTGGCCAACATGGAGAAGCCCCGTCTCTACTAAAAATACAAAAATTAGCCAGGTGTGGTGGCGTGCACCTGTACTCTCAGCTATTCAGAAGGCTGAGGCAGGAGAATTGCTTGAGCCCAGGAGCTGAGGTTGCAGTGAGCCAAGATCATGCCACTGTACTCCAGACTGGGAGACAGAATGAGATGACCTCAAAAAAAAAAGAAAAGAAAAATAGGAGACTAAGATACGGCAACCAAAAGCAATTCATGGTTCTTGATTGGTCCTGGAAAAAAAATAAACAGCTGTAAAGGACATAATTGAGAAAATTGGGAAGTTTGGATATGAATGTATATTAGTTAATAGTATTATAATGTTATAATAATTGTGCTGTATTTGTATAGGAGAATGTTCTTTTTCTTAGGAGATACATACTGAAGTATCTAGGGATAAAATGTAATGATGTCTACAATTGATTCTTTTTTTCTTTGTTTGTTTGAAATGTAGTCTTGCTCTGTTGCTCAGGCTGGAGTGTAGTGGCGCAATCGGCTCACTGCAACCTCCACCTCCCAGGTTCAAGCGATCCTCATGCCTTAGCCTCCCGAGTAGCTGGGACTACAAGTGTGTGCCACCATGCCTGGCTAATTTTTGTAGTTTTAGTAGAGACCAGGTTTCATCAGGTTGGTCAGGCTGGTCTCAAACTCTTGACCTCAAGTGATCTATCTGCCTCAAGCTCCCAAAGTTCTGAGATTAGAGGTGTGAGCCACTGTGCCTGGCCTACAATTAATTCTTAAATGGTTCAGCAAAAAATAAGTATATGTGTGCATGTATAATATATGTGTGTTTAGAGAGAAAGAGAGAAAAAGAAGCGCAGAGAGAGAACCACTGTGCAAAATGTTAGCAACTGATGAATCCATACGAAGTGTAGATGAGTGTTTATTGCCCCTTCATGTAAATTTTATGTAGATTTGAAAGTTTTCCAACTAAAAAGTTGTGGGGAAATGGCTGGGTGCAGAGGCTCATACCTGTAATCCTAGCACTTTGGGAGGCCAAGGTGGGTGGATCACTTGAGGTCAGGAATTCCAGACCAGCCTGGTCAATATGGTGAAACCCCATCTCCACTAAAAAAATACAAAAATTAGCCAGGCATGGTGGTGCGCAACTGTAGTCCCAGCTACTCAGGAGGCTGAAGCAGGATAATTGCTTGAACCTGGGAGATGGAGGTTGTGGTGAGACAAGATCACGCCACTGCACTTTAGCCTGGGTGACAGAACTAGACTCTATCTGAAAAAAAAAAAAAAAGTGAACTGTGATTGTGCCACTGCACTCCAGCCTGAGTGACAGCGAGAGACCCTGTCTCAAAAACAAAAACAGCTGGGTGCGGTGGCTCACGTCTGTAATCCTAGCACTTTGGAAGGCTGAGGCAGGTGGATCACTAGGTCAGGGGTTCGAGACCAACCTGACCAACATGGTGAAACCCCATCTCTCAAAAAAAAAAAAAAGCAAAAAAACTAAAACAAAGCGAAGAGACACAGCACTTTGGATACACGGCAGAGAGGGATACAGTGCAGGCTCTGAGTGAGGCCCTGCGACTAACTCGAGACCACTGGAGTATTCACTTCCCTGCTTCTGTGCTTTGATTTTTCTCTTTAAAATGAAGTTACACTAACTATCGAAATTCAAAGTAATACCAAGTATTTATGACCATCTCTCAGGTGCCAGACTCTGTGCCAGGCCCTGTGAATAGGCAAGAGATGACACGGTCCCTGCTGTCACAGATCACGGACTGCTGGGGAGGCAGCCCCTTAACAGGCAGTACAGTGAGGTGAGCATTCAGAAAGGGGAAGAGCAGGCTGCTGTGGGACTGCATGGTGATGGGGCTTAGCCCAGTTCAGGGGAGAGGGAAGCCTCTTTCCTCTCCAGAAAGTGACACGCAAGTTGAAACCTCCAAGCTGTTTAGAGGTTGGTCTAAAGGAAGAGGGTGAGGAAGCACTCTAAGCAGAGGGAAGAAAATGCTCAAAGGCGCCAAGATGGAAAAGAGGAACTGAAAGAAATCTCACATGGCTGAAATGTTAGAGAAACAGAGCGCCAAGGCCCCTGCTCTGTGACTTGTTCCCTTCCTCTGTCTTCAAGCAACACGCAGAAATACATTTATGTTCTCTCTTCACTTCAGTGGAGACCCAGGGAATTGGGAGGGTCTCTGTGGCTGGGTGTGGTGGCTCTTGCCTATAATCTCAGCACTTTGGGAGGCTGAGGCAGGAGGATCAAAGAGCAGTCTGGGCAACACAGTGAGACTCTGATAAAATGTCTACAAAGAAAAAAAAAGACTAGCTAGACATGGTAGTGCATGCCTGTAGTCCCAGCTATTTCGGGGGCTTGTGTGGGAGGATCGCTTGAGCCAGGGAGGTTATGATTACAGTGACCCCTGATTGCACTACTGTACTCAGCCTGGGAGATAGCGAGACCATGTCTCAAAAACAAACAAAAAGATTCTATGCATTTTATGGGACTTTCCTTTGGATCCCCCAATCAAAGCACAAGCAACACATCAGCCTGTTTCCTTCCTGAAGCTTCTTGACTGCCCAGATAGGGAGGTGAGTCCTCTCTATCTCCTCTGGCTCTGTTGTGCATTAAGGGCCAGTTTACTTGTCTGCCTCTTCCATCACCTGTGAACTCTGCTGGGTGTACTCTGCTAAGTTCTGGGGATGAGGAAATTAATAAAGGCACAGTCCCACCCTCAAGGAACTCGTGGTCTAGAGGAGAAGAAAGAAAGTAAACACACAGTAACAAAGCTACTTGAAGAGGCAAACTGGAATTCTAAGGGTGGGAAAGAACAGACCCAAGAGATAAAGTCCTGGCTGGGCGCAGTGGCTCACACCTGTAATCCCAGCACTCTGTGAGTCTAAGGCGGGCGGACAACAAAGTCAGGAGTTCAAGACCAGCCTGGGCAACATGGTGAAATCCTCTCTCTGCTAAAAATACAAAAAATGAGTTGGGCGTGGTGTCATTCGTCTGTAATTCCAGCTGCGCTGGAGGCTGAGGGAGGAGCATTGCTTGAACCTGGGAGGCAGAGGTTGCAGTGAGCCAAGATCACACCATTGCATTCTAGCCTGGGCAACAAAGCAAGAGTCCATCTCAAAGAAAAAAAAAAAAGATAAAGTCCCAATGAAATGGAGTGCTTGGTTTTTGATGATTCCTTCCCCAAGGATGAATATACCGCTATACCCTTTTTTAAAAAAAATATATATATATATATATATGTATTTATTTATTACAATGGGGTTTTGATATTGTTGCCCAGGCTGGAGTGCAATGGTGCAATCTCGGCTCATCACAACTTCTGCCTCCTGGGTTCAAATGATTCTCCTGCCTCAGCCTCCCAAGTTGCTAGGATTATGTGACTTGGGAGGCTGAGGCAGGTGCCCACCACCACGCTTGGCTAATTTTGTATTTTTAGTAGAGATGGGGTTTCTCCACGTTGATCAGGCTGGTCTTGAACTCCTGACCTCTAGTGATCTGCCTGCCTTGGCCTCCCAAAGTGCTGGGATTACAGGCGTGAGCCACCGTGCCTGGCCACCTCTATACTCTTATATTAAATCCTGTTTTGGCTTGTTATTGCAAGGAAGTTTCTATTACTTAAATCAGTCCCAACTGATAAAGTTCTCTAAAAGAGATGATGCCTATGCTGAATTCTGAAGAATGAGTAGAAGACACTTGGGTTGGGGTAGGAGGAGGCAGAGAAAGAAGCATGTGTAAAGACTCAGAGATATCAAGCGTAATGGCACATGCCTGTAGTCCCAGCTATTGGGGAGGGTGGGGTGGGAGGATCACTTGAGCTCAGGAGTTCCGGGCTTTAGTGCACTATGCTAATTGGGTGTCCACACTAAATTGGGCATCAATATGGTTACCTCCCTGGAGTGAGGAACCACCAGGTTGCCTAAGGAGGGGTGAACTGGCCCAGACCAGAAATGAAGAACTTTGGAGCTGATCAGTAGAGGGATCATGCCTGTGAATAGCCATTGCACTGCAGCCTGGGCAACATAGCAAGGCAACATCTCTTAATAACCAGTGCCACCAAACAAAGGCCCAGAGACAAGAGATAGCATGGCCTGTTCTAGAAGCTTTAAATAATGGAATATGGCTAGAGGACAGACTGTTGAGGATAGGGTGCGTAAAGACAGATGAGATTAGAGAAAGCATTTCTTTCCAATAATGATGGAGCAGATCATATCAGAACAGTCATCCTACAGATAACAATTATAAACTCTGGACAGATAATAACAAAACTATCCAGCCAGGTGCAGTGCCTCACGCCTGTAATCCCAGCACTATGGCAGACCAAGGTGGGTGGATCACCTGAGGCCAGGAGTTCGAGACCAGCCTGACCAACATGGAGAAACCCCGTCTCTACTAAAAATACAAAATTAGCTGGGTATGGTGGCGCATACCTGTAATCCCAGCTACCCCGGAGGCTGAGGCAGGAGAATTACTTGAACCTGGGAGGTGGAGATTGCAGAGAGCTGAGATCCCGCCATTGCACTCCAGCCTGTGAGCCACTGCTCCCAACCCTGATTTCTTATCTAATTTAGCATTAGAACCCAGGGTCATTGGGATGGGTATTAACACATATACTTGAATTGAAAAATTTTAGGGCTAGACTTGGTGACTCATGCTTGTAATCCCAGCACTTTGGGAGGCCGAGGCAGGAGGCTTGCTTGAGTCTGAGAGGTTGAGATTAGCTTGGGCAACATGGTAAACCTTGGTCTCTACAAAAAATACAGGCTGGGCACAGCGGCTCAGGCCTGTTATCCTAGCACTTCGGGAAGCTGAAGTAAGTGTATCACCTAAGGTTGGGAGTTTGAGATCAGCCTGACCAACATGGAGAAACCCCATCTCTACTAAAAATACAAAATTAGCCGTATATGGTGACACATGCCTGTAATCCTAGCTACTTGGGAGGCTAGAGCAGGAGAATCGCTTGAACCCAGTAAGTGGAGGTTTTGGTGAGCCAAGGTTGCATCATTGCACTCCAGCCTGGGCAACAAGATGGAGACTCTGTTTAAAAAAAAAAAAAAAAAAAAAACAGGCCGGGCATGGTGGCTCATGCTTGTAATCCCAGCACTTTGGGAGGCAGAGGCGGGCGGATCACGAGGCCAAGAGATCAAGACCATCCTGGCCAACATAGTGAAACCCCGTCTCTACTAAAAATACAAAAATTAGCTGGGTGTGGTGGCACATGCCTGTAGACCCAGCTACTTGGGAGGCTGAGGCAGGAGAATTGCTTGAACCCGGAAGGGTTGCAGTGAGCCGAGATTGCGCCACTGCACTCCAGCCTGGCTTCTGGCGACGGAGCAAGACTCTGTCTCAAAACAACAACATGACAACAAAATAGCAGGGTATGGTGGCATGTGCTTGTGGTCCCAGCTGTTCGTGGGACTGAAGCGATGGCTTGAGCCTGGGAGCTTGAGGCTGCAGTGAGCAAAGATCACACCACTGCACTCCAGTGTGGGCTACAGAGACCCTGTCTCAAAAAACAAAAAACAAACGAACAAACAAAAATGTGTGTGTGTGTGTGTGTGTGTATTCAAATACATAACATAAAAGCACCTTTCCAAAAAATATTAGATTGACAATGGTGTATTGAAATTAAAAATATTATAATTTTTCTAGTCCTTTCTATCAGTAAACAAGGTGTCTTGAAGTAAAAGTGTGATTGCTTATAATTGATAGTCCTTTGCTAACCTTGGCAAACTCTTTTTGGCATACTGTAGTTGCTCAACAGGTTCTTTCTTCCCACTGCACAGGCAAAACCATGAAGAAATAGTTTAATTAACATTAAGGTGAGGTTGGCCATGTGGGAGAACTGGAGTTATCAGTCAGTCTCCCCAAAGCCTGGAGGTTATGGGTTTTCGGTTTCGCGGGCAGGGCCTAGTCAATGGATGCTGCTGACTGGTTGGGGATGCAGTCATTCGGAGTGTGGAAAATAGTCCTCATGCACTCAGTCCACCTCTGGGTTAGGCCACAGGGCCAACTGAATCATGAGTCACCAGTCCTGGTGGCGTAAATTTGGAAAACTTCTCCAGTGACCAATCTTAGATTCTAGAATAGTGATGTTATCTATAGGAGCAATTGAGGAAGCCACAAGTCTTGTGACTTCTGGCTACATAACTCCTGAGCATAAGGGATTATAGAAATTATGTCAACGTGTCAGCAGAATTCAGGCCCCTCCCGTATACTTAATTTTGTGGACTTTCTTTTTTGTTTTTTGTTGTTGTTTTTTTGGGGACTTTCAATAGTTTTACAAAGGTGGTTTCAGCTCCGTGAATAAGAAGGGATTAGTTTTAAGGAGAGACTATTATCATCCTGGCTTCTAAGTTAAACAGTAACTAAATTCCTTCCACGGTTAGCTTGGCCTACCTTAGGAATGAGCGAAGACAGCCAGCCTATGAGGCTAGAAGCAAGATGGAATCAGCCACGTTAGATTTCTCTCACTGTCATAATCTTTGCAAAGGCGATTTCAATACAGCCCAGAAAATGAGAAAGTGAATATTTATTTGTTTGTTTGTTTGCTTTGAGAGGGAGTCTCGCAGGCTGTCTCCCAGGCTGGAGTGCAATGGCATGATCTTGGCTCACTGCAACTTCTGCCTCCTGTGTTCAAGCGATTCTTTGGCCTCAGCCTCCAGAGTAGATGGGATTACAGGCACCTGCCATCATGCCTGGCTAATTTTTTATTTTTGTAGAGACAGAGTTTCATCATGTTGGTCAGGCTGGTCTTGAACTACTGACTTCAGGTGATCCATGCACTTCAGCCTCCAAAAGTGCTGGGATTATAGGCCTGAGCCACCACACCTGGGCATAAATACATTTTTGAAAGAAACCAGACCATCTATCTTACTAATAACTATCATTCCAATAAAATTTTTACTCTGTATAAAAGTTATTTATGTAAATTGGAGCATACTTTTGTTTTGACTGCTAATTGTGATTATATTGATAATTCAGTCCAAGAGAAAAAATTTAACAAGAACCCTTTTGTCATAGGAATTTACAAAGAATTAAAATTTTAATACATATACATACTTTTGTGGCAGAGAAGTATTACAAAGTGATAAAAGACTTACATGCACAAAATATATTGCCTTGGAATGTAATTCTGTGGAGAAAATAGAATGGAAATACAAGTTCAGAAAGATAAAAGGATGACAAAATTGGCCAGGCACGGTGGCTCAAGCCTGTAATCCCAGCACTTTGGGAGGCCAAGGTGGGTGGATCACGAGGTCAAGAGATTGATACCATGATACCAACCTGGTCAACATGGTGAAACCCCATCTCTACTAAAAATACAAAAAATTAGCTGGGCATGGTGGCGCGTGCCTGTAATCCCAGCTACTCGGGAGGCTGAGGCAGGAGAATTGCCTGAACCCAGGAGGCGGAGGTTGCGGTGAGCTGAGATCACGTGATTGCAATTCAGCCTGGGTAACAAGAGCAAAACTACGTCTCAAAAAAAAAAAAAAAATTATGACAAAATTTCTGATGTAGGCTGGGTGCAGTGGCTCATGCTTGTAATCCCAGCACTTTGGGAGGTGGAGGCAGGTGGATCACCTGAGGTCAGGAATTCGAGACCAGCCTGGCCAACATGGGTAAACCCCATCTCTACTAAAAATACAAAATTAGCTGAGTGTGGTGGTGCACGCCTATAATCCCAGCAACTCTGGAGGCTGAGGCAGGAGGATGGTTTGAACCCTGGAGGTGGGGAGTTTGCAGTGAGCCGAGATCACGACACTGCACTCCAGCCTGGGCAACGATGTGAGACTCCATCTCAAAAAAAAAAAAAAAAAAAAAAATCTGATGTAAATGAATTTGTTAATATGTTTTTACTACCAGAGCTGACCACTCTCCTCCTTCTCCCTTTCTTATAACCACTGCATGATTTTGCTTAAAACTTTTAGAGAGTGTCCAAGAAAAAAGTTTGAAGACTACATTAACCCACTCTTTCCAGAAACTTGGCTGTGAAATGGAAAAGAGGAGCGCTGCCTCCAGGGATGCTTAGGTCAAAGGTAACTTTAGTTTATTTTTTATTTTTAAATTTTTTTTGAGACTAGGTCTAGCTCCTTCCCCAGGCTAGAGGGAAGTGCTGTAATCACAGCTCACTGCAGTCTTGGCCTCCTGGGCTCCCACGGCTCACTGCAACCTTCACCGCCCCTCAAGCAATTCTCCCATTTCAGTCTCCTGAGTAGCTGGGCATAGCCAGGCCTGTGCCACCGTGCCTGGCTAATTTTTTTTTTTTTTTGAGATGGAGACTTGCTCTGTTGCCCAGGCTGGAGTGTAATGGTATGATCTCGGTTTACTGCATCTTCCCCTTCCCGGGTTCAAGCGATTTTCCTGCCTCAGCTTCCCAAGTAGCTGGGATTACAGGTGCCTGCCACCACGCCTGGTTAACTTTTGTATTTTTAGTAGAGACAGTTTTTCACCAGCTGGCCAGGCTGGTCTCGAACTCCCGACCTCAGGCGATCCACCATTCTTAGCCTTACAAAGTGCTGGGATTACAAGCGTGAACTACTGTGCTTGGCCAATTTTTATATTTTTTTGTAGAAACAGGGTTTCACCATGTTGCTCAGGGTAGTATCAAACTCCTGAGCTCAAGCAATCCACCTGCCTTGGCCTCCCAAAGTGCTGGGATTACAGGCATGAACTACCATGCCCAGACAGCGATTTTATTTTTTAAATTGGAAGATCTGAGCATGTTTAACTGTTTAGTATCATGCCCATTTTACAGAAAAAAAAGAGAGGCTCTTAGAAGTTATGATTTTACTTCAGTGTGGAGATTCTGGAACAAGATCCAGGTAATCTCTCAGTCAGGATAGGCTAGGTTATGGTGTATCAATACACACCCACTCAATCTCAGTAAGCTTATATCAATACACACCCACTTAATCTCAGTAAGCTGAACACATCCCGGTTTTCTTCTCCCGCTTACTACATATCCTAGAGTGGGTTGGCAGGGAGTCTGCTCATCTTAGCCACTCACTGACCCAGATCACTGAATGATGGTTTCATCTCCATAGTTGGAGCAGCTGGCAGAAAGGGATACAATGACCGGCTCAGTCACCTTTAAAGCTGGTGGGAAGTAACATTAGTACCTCTGTGTGTTTCAAGTGGGTCAGGGAAGTGCCAGTCCTACCATGTGCCCAGAAAGGGAAAGTACTGGAAACGCTGATGAGCAGTGCTGCCTACTCCATGACACTTCCAGTGTTGGAAATAACCACAAACATTTTTTTTTGTCCTCAGCTTCACGAGTAGCCGGGACTACAGGCATGCACCTAGAAGACTGACTTTGTTTTTTTTTGTTTTTGCTTATTTATTTTTTGAGACAAAAGTCTCGCTCTGTTACCCAGGCTGGAGTGCAGTGACATAATCTCAGCTCACTGCAACCTCCACCTCCCAGGTTCAAGTAATTCTCCTGCCTTAGCCTCCCGAGTAGCTGGGACTACAGGTAGGCGCCACCATAGTAGAGAAGGGGTTTTACCATATTGGCCAGGCTGGTCTAGAACTCCTGACCTTGTGATCTGCCCGCCTTGGCCTCCCAAAGTGCTGGGATTACAGGCGTGAGCCACCAAGCCTAATCTTGTTTTATTTTTAGTAGAGATGGGGGTTTGCTATGTTGGCCAGGCTGGTCTTGAACTCCTGACCTCAAGTGATCCAAAGGTCTGCTACAAACTTGTATTATCTGATACCTACTTTGAGCTCCGGTGAGAAGGGGTAAAGCATGAGGCATTAAAGCATGAGGCATTGTTAGTTCATTTCAACATATTGGGGAGTTGTGGGTTTTAGTCTCTGACGCCTCACTGTTACCATGCGAGCTTAGAAGTTCCATTACCTCTTTGGGTCATCTGGGAGGACTTGGTGCTCTTTTAGTTCTAACATTTTCTGCTTGCAATGCGCTTAGGACTGGAGTAGGAGGTGAGTGAGTGGGAGAACGCAAACGCCACAAACGCCAGGCGAGCCATCTCAGGAAAACACTTTTTAGTATTTTGTCCGCTTGTCTGTCGGGAAACGCGCTTACATCCCGCAGAGGGCAGTAAGGACACAGCGCGCAACTCTGCTTTATAACTGCGCGTTAAAAAGCCTTGAATGCGCGTCAGAATCATGTAGGGGAGGTTTTATAAAAACCCGTGCTCCGCCCGAGACAATGAAATCAGACTCCCTGCAAGCGGGACCCGAACATCAGCATTTTTGAAGACCCCCACCCCCACCCCCGCCGCCGCCACCGTGACTGTGCACCGATGATCTTTAATCCCCTGCTACTTGTTAGAGCAGCTACTTATTAGAGGATGACACCTCGCGGACTCATTCTTACAAATGAGCTGCTGAATGGACTCCTTTCCTCCCAAGAGTTGTCGGTGTTGCATCTTTTTGTTGATTGTGTGTGTGTGTGTGTTTTGCCTACAGCACCCGGTATTCTAAGGCGGTCTCCCATCCAAGTACCAACCAGGCCCGACCCTGCTTAGCTTCCAAGATCAGACGAGATCGGGCTCGTTCGTATTTATATTTTTTTAGCCTACGGAAGAAGACATCCAATGGCGCTGCATCTTAATGGGGGCACATCCAGCGAAAGGGAATCTTGGAGACATCTGCGGGTTCCTAGCGGCTGGCGGCAAGTGGGTTTCCGAGGGCAGGGGGCCGCCACCGAAGGTCAGCTCTGCCATTCGCGCTGGGTTGTGGAGGATCAAAGTCCGCTTTCAGCAGGACCGGAGGAAGGAGACTGGGTGGCCCCAAGGGAGGAGGGTAAGAGGCAACCGAGAAGAGGTGGAGGGCCGGGGGAAGAGGAAGGGCGAGGGAGGAGCCTGAGGAGATGCGGCCCACATTGGGCCGGCTAGACCCAGACGTCCGCGCCAAGCCTGGTCGCCATGGCGGGCCTGGGTCTGGGCCCGGGCCCTGCCGTCCCCGTGTGGCTGGCAGAGGACGACCTGGGCTGCATCATCTGCCAGGGGCTACTGGACTGGCCGGCCACGCTGCCCTGCGGCCACAGCTTCTGCCGCCGCTGCCTGGAGAGCCTGTGGGGCGCGCGGGCCGCGGGTGGCCGCTGGGCCTGCCCCACCTGCCGGGAGGTCGCCGCGCAGCAGCCGCGGCTGCGGAAGAACACGCTGCTGCAGGACCTGGCCGACAAGTACCGCCGCGCCGCGCGCGAGCTGGAGGCGGGCCCCGACTCGGCCCCCCGCCCCGGCCCCGGCTCCTGCCCGGCCCCCAGGCCCCGGCGCCGCGGGTCACTGCCGCGGGTAGGGAGGCCGAGCTCGCAGGTCCCCTCGCGCCCCCGGGCTGCCCCCCTTTCCCTCTGGCTCGAACCCCCTTCCTCAGCCGTTCTACTTTTACGTTCCTTTTCTCAATCTAACAGTCGACTCCCGCTCTTAGGAGGAACTTTGAAGTTCAGAAAAGTATGAAGAAGCAGGAAAAAAAAATTCCCCATCTCCCGAAAGCCTGTCAACCTAGCAGCTATACGCCTTGGCATATTTCAACTTCTTCCCAATCTATTTTTGGTCTCTTTCTCTCAAAATTGTAAAATTGTGGTAAGATGCATGTAACATTAAAACTTGCCATTTTTGCCTTTTTTTTTTTTTTTTTGGAGATGGAGTCTCTCTGTCACCATGCTGGAGTGCAATGGCGCGATCTGCTCACTGCAACTCCCGCCTCCCGGGTTCAAGCGATACTTCTGTCTCAGCCTCCCGAGGAGCTGGGATTACAGGCGCACACCACCGTGCCCAGCTACTTTCTTTTCTATTTTAGTAGAGACAGGGTTTCACCGTGTCACCCAGGCTGGTCTCGAACTCCTGAACTCAGGCAATCCTCCCGCCTCCGCCTCCCAAAGTGCTAGGATTATAGATGTGAGCCACGGGACCGGCCTCATTTTAACCATTTTTAAGTGTATAATTCAGTGACAAATTAGTTACATTTCCAATGTGCAAATAACACTGCTGTTTGCAAAACCCTTTGATGACCATAAACAGAAACTCTGTACCCATTAAGTAGTAACTCCTCATTTTCCCTCCCTCTAGCCCCCGCTCACATCTAAGCTACTTTCTGTATCTGAGTCTTCCTGTTCTGGTTATTCATATAACTGGAATCATTCAATGTCTGTGCCTTGTTTCTTTCACTTAGCATGGTGTTTTCAAGGTTCATTCATGTTGTAGCATGTGTCAGACTTTATTCCTTTTATGGAGGCTGAATAATATTCCACTGGGTGGATGTGCCACATTATTTATTTGTTTTTTTGAGATGAAGTCTCGCCCTGTCACCAGTGGCACCATCTTGGCTCTGCAACCTCTGCCTCCCGGGTTCAAGGGATTCGCCTGCCTCAGTCTCCCGAGTAACTGGGACTACAGGTGCGCACCACCATACCCAGCTAATTTTCGTATTTTTAGTAGAGACGGGGTTTCACCATGTTGGCCAGGGTGATCTCGATCTCTTGACCTCGTGATCCGCCTGCCTCAGTCTCGCAAAGTGTTGGGATTACAGGCCTAAGTCACTGAGCCCGGCCACATTTTAAAAAATCCATTCATCCATCCTTGGACATTTGAATTGTCTCCACCTTTTGGTTACTTGTGAATAATGCTGCAGGGAACATTGTTGTGCAAGTATCTGAGTCCCTATTTTCCATTCTTTTGGTATATACCTAGGAGTGTGATTGCTGGATCATATGGTAATTTTATGTTTAACTTATTGAGGAATGGTTTGTTTTCCACAAGGCCTGTACCTTTTTGCATTCCCACCAGCCATGTACAAGGGTTCCAATTTTTCCACATTCTGCTGACTACTTATTTTCTGGATGTTTTTGTTTTTCTTTTTTAGCATAGCTTTCACACCTTGGTATAGGCATGAAGTGACATTTCATTGTGATTTTTTTTTTTTTTTTGAGATGGAGTCTCACTCCAGGCTGGAGTGAAGTGGCACAGATCTTGGCTCACTACAACTTCTGCCTCCTGGGTTCAAGCAATTCTCCCTGCCTCAGCCTCTAGAGTAGCTGGGAGTACAGGCACCTGCCACCACACCTGGCTGATTTTTGTATCATTGCCAAATCAAGTGTCATACATTTTGCCCTGTGTTTTCTTCTAAGAGCTGTATTATTTTAGGTCTTACATTTAGGTCTTTGATCCATTTTGAGTTAGTTTTTGTGTGTAATGTTAGGTAAGGATCCAACCTTATTCTTTTGTGTGTAGATATCCAGTTTTCACAATACAATGTGTTGAAAAACTGTCCTATCCCCATTGAATGGTCTTGGCACCTTTGTCAAAAATCATTTAATCATATATATGAGAGTTTATTTCTGGGTACTCTATTCTATTCCATTGGTCTATATGTCTGTTTTCATGCCATTACCACAGCATTTATGACTCCCTCTGTCTATAGTGGTTCCTGGGTCCAGTTTTATAGAACCCATGAACTGAACTTTGCTGTTTTAAAGGTGGAAGTACAGAAGAGCATCACAGAAGTTGGTCAGGAGCTGACAGAGCTGGGGGAACGGCTTGTAGATATTGTCAGGAGCCTGCAGAGTCAGAGGCCCCTATCAGAATCTGGACCAGACAATGAACTGAGCATCCTGGGCAAGGTAGGCTCCGCTGGGAGAGGAAAGGATCTGGGAGGTGAAAGGGCTAGGGATTGCTTTCAACTGAAACGACATGAATGTGTTTGAAGCTGAAGGATGCAGTAAGTCTCAACCTTTTATTGTTCTCTTCACTACCAGACATGGATGATTGGATATTTGGTATGCTTGAGGTAAGGTTCGGAAGCTTTGAGTGGGCTAGGATCACTCCACTTAACCAGCTATCTCTAAGATCACCAATGACCTCTGTGTAAACCCTGTAGACATTCTGATGCCTGTCTTCACTGACCTTTCAGCAGCCTTTGACATAGTGGACCCCACCTTCATTCTTAGCTTTTGGGACAGCAGTCTTCTGCCTTTCCCCCACCTCTCTCTGGCTGATCCTTCTCAGTCCGTTTGCAGGCTCTCTCTCCTCTGCTCAGGAATTCAATGCTGGACTTCCTCAAGGCTGAGTTATAGGTCCCTTTCTCTCTCCTCCAGGTAGTCTTCCTCGTACCCCTGGCTTTAATGACTACCTCTATGCACAAATATAGCTACAACCTGGAGCCTTCTCTGAGCACTAGGCTGCTATATCTCCCTTCTCATCTTTTCTTCTTGGGTATCTCAAAGCATCACACTTAACATGTCTTAAATTGCTCCTCCTCTGGGATTTCTCATCTCAATGCTGGCCCTATTATTTTTCCAAGTACAGAAGCCAGAGACATGGGAATCATGTTACCTCCTTCTCCCTCACCCTAATATGCAGCATATTGTAGCTCTAAGACCTGCCTAATTACCTCTCAAATATATTTACTACTCTTGAGCTCCTTTGAGAGTTCTCTAATCCAAGCCTCTGATAATTTCATGCCTGGATTGCTGTCATAACCTTCCAAATGCTCCACTCTCCCTCTTCTAGTCTGTTTTCCTCATGGTCATCACAGTGACCACCATAAACACATCTGAAAATGTAACTCATCTGCTTAAAACGTTCAAGTGACATCAGTTTGCTCAGGACTAAGACCCAAATCCTCACAGGATCGACAAAGCCCTGTAGGATCCCATCTGTGTCTGCCTCTCAAATCTCATCTCTGCTTACTCTGCCTGGCTCTGTGAGCTCCAGCTACACTGGCCACATCAGTGCCTCTGGTGTCTCACGTCTTCCCACTACAGGGGACCCTTCCTGGAATGCTCTCCTTTCCCTCCACCGCTTAGGTAATGCTTGCTCATCCTGCAGATCCTAGCTAGAACATCCCTTCTTCAGAGAGAAGCCTTCACTGATTTCCTCGAACAAATCAAATTCCCCCATTAGAGGCTCTTAGGATTCCATGTACCTTTCACTGGTAGTAGTTATCATCATTGCAACTTTGTAATGACTTGTGCCCTACTCTGTATTAATGTCTGCCCCTCTCCCTTTTCCTGCACTGGACTCTTAGCTTCATGAGGATAGGGACTTTTGATGCTTTTGTCCACCATTGTATCCCCATGCCCTAGCACAGTACCCAAGTACCCACTTATAGTAGGGCTCAACAAATACCCACTGAATGTATGAATAAATGCATCTTCAGGGATGCAATGTGTTGGATAAAAGTCTGAGAGTCAGACTTTCAGACTTGACATTGTCACTCTCTGGTATCATGACCTTGGGCAAGTCTTTTCATCCTTCTGCGTCTCAGGTTCCTATATGTAATGTAGAAATAATAATACGTGGCCTGCCACATCACTGGTTTATTGTGAGGGTTAAAATAGGTTTAAAAAAGTGTTTGACCGGCCGGGCATGGTGGCTCACGCCTGTAATCCCAGCACTTTGGGAGGCTGAGGCGGGTGGATCATGAGGTCAAGATATCGAGACCATCCTGGTCAACATGGTGAAAACCCGTCTCTACTAAAGATACAAAAAATTAGCTGGGCATGGTGGCACGTGCCTGTAATCCCAGCTACTCAGGAGGCTGAGGCAGGAGAATTGCCTGAACCCAGGAGGCGGAGGTTGCGGTGAGCTGAGATCGCGCCATTGCACTCCAGCCTGGGTAACAAGAGCAAAACTCTGTCTCAAAAAAAAAAAAAAAAAAAAAAAAAGGTGCTTGACCAATGTTAAAATATGGGGTGATATAATTAACTGTGGCAATTTAGTTAACCCCTATGAACTTTAACTTCTTTTGTTGAAAATGGACATTTTTTACAGGCTTTTAAACCTACTTTGTCATGCAAATGAGAGAAAGGCAATAGCTAGCATGTGGAAAACACTCAGTAAGTGTAATACTACTGTATTTTGATTGGTGGAAAGAATGAGGAGTGGATTATGCAAAGCTGGGAAAGAAAGTCAAGGGTTGAAGTTGGTGAGCAGATAAAGGACTGTATTGGGGAAGAACAGGACCTGAGGCTAAAGAAAATCAGGGAGCATGTGTTGGAGGCCCCAGAAAGCAGGACCTAGATGTAGGCAACGTGAGAGGTAGCTCTTGGGAAGTGACATGATATAATGATAGAGGTGGGAAAAGATTCCTTTTTTTTTTTTTGAGACAGAGTCTTACTCTGTCACCTCCAGGCTGGAGTGCACTGGCATGATCTTCTTAGCTCACTGCAGCCTCTACCTCCTGGGTTCAAGTGATTCTCCTGCCTCAGCCTCCCACGTAGCTGGTATTACAGGCACCTGCCACCATGCCCGGCTAATTTTTGTATTTTTAGTACAGATGGTGTTTCAGCATCTTGGCCAGGCTGGGCTTGGACTCCTGACCTCAGGTGATCTGCCCACCTCAGCCTTCAAAAGTGCTGAGATTACAGGTGTGAGCCACCACACCCAGCTGAAAAAGTTATTCTGACCTCCGTGATTTATCTCAGTAACTGTCTGTAATATTTATTTTATTTTATTTTTAAAATTATTAATTAATTAATTTTTTTAGAGATGGGGTTTCTCCATGTTGGCCAGGCCAGTCTCGAACTCCTGACCTCAGGTAATCTGCCCACCTCGGCCCCCCAAAGTGCTGGAATTACAGGTGTGAGCCACCGTGCCAGGCCAATATTTATTTTATGAAGCCCCTATGAGTTAGATGTGGCCCCTAAAAAAAAAGAAAATAAAAAAGAAAGCCCCTATAAGATGCGCCTAAAAATGTTAAACTTTTTTGGTATTACCTAAGAAATCCAAGTTTATTGTGCAAAATGTTAGAATAGCATTAAATAAAGCAAATTAAAATGCTCCATAACTCCATCACCCAGAAATAACCACTCTTTGATATTTTTGCTATACTATGTATTATCCCAGATTGTTTTCAAGGCATATATTTTGAGGGCCTAATTTTGTTTTTAAAAACTTGCTAGCTGGGTGTGGTGGCTCACGCCTGTAATCCCAACACTTTGGGAGGCTGAGGCAGATGGATCACCTGAGGTCAGGAGTTCGAGACTGGCCTGGCCAACATGGTGAAACCTCATCTCTACAAAAATTAGCAGGTGAGGTGGTGGGTGCCTGTAATCCTAGCTGCTTGAGAGGTTGAGGCAGGAGGCTCGCTTGAACCCGGGAGGTGGAGGTTGCAATGAGCTGAGATCATGCCACTGCACTCTATCCTGGGCGACAGAGCAAGACTCAGTCTCCACAAGAAAAAAAGATTTACTTGGAGTTAAATAGATTAAATAAAAATTATAAATGGACAGAAGGACTTGAATATAATATTTGATGGGCTGTGTAGGGGACTTCTGTTTATTCATTTTAAAATGATTCATCAATACACTTTTTCTTCTGGGGTGGATCTTTCCATGGCTTTTCCAAAGCTGGTGACTTCCGATGCGGCTGCAGGGAAAATCAAAGATATTCTCCATGACCTAGAAGAAATTCAGGAAAAATTGCGAGAAAACTTCTCCTGGAAAGAGGCTCCTGAAGCACCAACACAGAGTGAGCTGATCTTATTTTATTGGAGGAGGATTAAATATGGAAGTTGGGGGTAATGGCAAAGTGCTCCATGGCTTTGTTCTTTGGGGACAGGATCCCAGAGTCCAGCTATATTACCACTGTGGTGTTGGGAATCAGGTAGGGGTGAGCTGAGGTGTTTTTGTGGCAGAATATGCTTTTGGCGATGACTGAAGCTATGATGTATCACTTAATAGATAGAGACTCATTTTTGAAGATCCATGCACATCCAGGCAGGCAAATCACCTGAGGTCAGGAGTTCAAGACCAGCCTGGTCAACATGGCGAAACCCTGTTTCTACTAAAAACACAAACATTAGTCAGGTGTGGTGGCAAGTGCCTGTAATCTCAGCTACTTGGGAGGCAGAGGCACAAGAATCACTTGAACCTGGGAGGTGGAGGTTTCAGTGAGCCAAGATCACGCTATTGCATGCCAGCCTAGGCAACAAGAGTGAAGCTCCATCTCAAAAAAAAAGAGTAATTTCTTATGTAAGTGGAGAAGCATGATTCCTTGGAAAAGTTCCTTAAGGAAAACAGTTAGAGAGCAGTTTATCAGTTGTTCCAAAAATTTTCTGAGAAAAAAAGCACCTTCTTATCCTGTGTTCTTGTAAACTTAGGTTGGATTCCTTAGTAATTTTATTTATTTATACAAATTTAAGATCAATTTTTAAATTTGGGGGGTTACATTTAAAATTTCTCATTCAAAAATCAAAACAGGGCTGGGTGCCGTGGCTCACACCTGTAATCCCAGCACTTTGGGAGGCTGAGGCGAGTGTATCACCTGAGGTCAGATTTCGAGACCAGCCTGGCCAACATGGTGAAACCCTGTCTTTACTAAAAATACAAAATATTAGCTGGGGTATGGTGGCACATGCCAGTAGTCCCAGCTACTCTGGAAGCTTAGGCAGAAGAAACGCTTGAACCTAGGAGGCAGAGGTTGCTGTGAGCCAAGGTTGCGTCACTGCACTCTAGCCTGGGCAACAAGAATGAAACACTGTCTCAAAAAAAAAAATCAGAACAGTATAAAAAGGGCATACAGCCCAATCTCCCTCCAATCCTTGCCAATTGCCCTATTCTTTTATCTCAGTGCACCACTTTTATTAGTTTTTTGAATGTCTGTTCAGAAGTTATTTATGCAAATATCAGCAAATATGGATTTATATTCTTATTTCTCCCAATTTTTTAATACACAAAAGATAGCACATTAAATGCATTGTTCTGGAGTTTGTTTTTCTCTTTTACTTAATACATCTTCATTGTACAGATCAGTACTTAGGACATATGTTCTCTGCTTTTTTTTAAATGCACCTAGAGCATTTTCTCTTCTACAGCTGTCAGTATTCCAGTGTCTGGGTATGCCAACACATACTTACTCAATCCTCTACAGATGGATGCATGATTGTTTCCAATTGTTTCCAATGACAAATAATGTTGAAGTCAATAACTGTGTATGTACATTATGTCATATGGGTGCAGATATAATTGCAGCTTAAATTGCCAGTGAAGGTTGCTGGGTCACAGGGTAAATTCATTTGTCATTTTGATATACATTGCCAAATCACCCTCCAGTTGGTTTATACTAGTTTTCCCCACAGAAGAAGTGTGTATCCCCAACCTGCCAATTGAGTGTGTTGTCAGACATTTTGTTTTTTTAAACCAATCTCATGAAATTAGCCGGGCTTGGTGGCGGGTGCCTGTAATCCCAGTTACTTGGAAGCTTGATGCAGGAGAATCGCTTGAACCCGGGAGGCGGAGGTTGCAGTGAGCCAAGACTGGGCCATTGCACTCCAGCCTGGGCAACAAGAATGAAACTCTGACTCAAAAAAAAAAAAAAAAAAAAAAAAAAGATGTGAACGTATACTGCACTTTTAATTTGTGTTTTTCCATGAATTGTCTGTTTATATCTTGTGTTATTGGTCTTTTAAAAATTGACATTTAGGAAGTCTTTGTAAATTAAAGAGATTAACCTTTTGTTTGTTATATGAATGGCAAATTTTGTTCCTTATATGTCACTTATCTTTTTACTTATCTTTTATAGGTTTTATAATGCCATACAGACATTTTTAATTTTACATATTTTTTTTTTTTTGAGGAGTTTTGCTCGTCTCCCAGGCTGGAGTGCAATGGCATGATCTTGGCTCACTGCAACCTCTGTCTCCTGGGTTCAAATGATTTTCCTGCCTCAGCCTCCCAAGTTGCTGGGATTACAGGCCTGCATCACCATAGCCGGCTAATTTTTGTATTTTTAGTAGAGACAGGATTTTACCATGTTGGTTAGGCTGGTCTCGAACTCCTGACCTCAGGTGATGCATCTGCCTTAGCCTTCCAAAGTGCTGGGATTACAGGCATGAGCCATCATGCCTGGCTTTTACATAATTTTTTATAGAGATGAGATCTCACTATTTTGCCCAGGCTGGTCTCAAACTCTTAGGCTCAAGCAATCCTTCTGCCTCTGCCTGCCAAAGTGCTGGGATTACAGGTGTGAGCCACCATGCCCGGCCTCAATTTTTTTTTTTAAGAGACAAGAGACAGGGTCTTGTTCTGTTGCCTAGACTGGTTGACTAGAGTGTCATGACAATTCCTAGGCTCTAAATGTTTCCTTTTTATTTTTATTTTTTGAGACAGAGTCTTACTTTGTCACCCAGGCTGGAGTGCCATGATGCCATCATGGCTCACCCCAGCCGTGACCTCCCAGGCTCAAGTGATCCTCCCTCCTTAGCCTCCTGAGTAGCTGGGACTGCAGGCACGTGCCACCACACCTGGCTAATTTTTGTATTTTTGTTAGATACTGGGTTTCACTATGTTGCCTAGGCTGGCCTGGAACTCCTGGGCTCAAACAATTAGGTCACCTCAGCCTCTTGAGTAGGTGGGACTACAGGTGGCACTACCACACTTTGTTAATTTTTTGTTTATTTTTTTTTTGTGGAGAATAGGTCATGCTTCTATTTTCACATAATAAATTTTATCTGGTTTTTCTTTTAAGCATTGTAGATTTTAAGTTTTAGTTAGAAAACTCAACCACCTGAAGTTTAGTAAGGAATTTTCTGATGTATATGTGTGTGTTTGTATTTTTACAGTTTACATTTAAATCTTTGGTTTCATGTTTTACATTGAAAACTTTGACCCATTTCAAGTCTATCTCAGCATGTATCCTAATGCATTTTGTTTTATTTATTATTATTTTTTTTTGAGATGGATTCTCACTCTGTTGCCCAGGCTGGAGTGCAGTGGCACGATCTCAGCTCACCACAACCTCTGGCTCTTAGGTTCAAGTGACTCTCTTGCCTCAGCCTCCCAAGTAGCTGGGAGTACAGCTTCAGTAGGACTGTAGGCCCACACCACCATGCTCAGCTATTTAAAGAATTGTTTTGTAAGGCTGGGTATGGTGGCTCACGCCTGTAATCCCAGCAGTTTGGGAGGCCGAGGTGGGCAGATCACAAAGTCAGAAGTTGGAGATCAGCCTGACCAACATGGTGAAACCCTGTCTCTACTAAAAATACAAAAAGTAGCCAGGTGTGGTGGCACGTGCCTGTAGTCCCAGCTACTTGGGAGACTGAGGTGGGAGAATCAGAAGAATCGCTTGAACCTGGGAAGCAGAGGTCATAGTAAGCTGAGATCGTGCCATTGCACTCCAGCCTGGGTGACAAAAAAATTGTTTTGTAAAGACAGGGTCTCATTATGTTGCCCAGGCTGGTCTGGAGCTCCTGGCCTTAAGTGATCCACCTACCTCAGCTTCCTAACTAGCTGGGACTATAAGCATGGACCACTATGCCTTGCTTCATATTGCAGAATTAAGCAACAATTATACCCATTAAGCAACAATTCCATATTCCCTCAACCCCCTCTTACCTAGCAACCACTATTCTACTTTCCATTTCTATGAATTTGACTATTCTGTATATCTCATCTGAGTAGAATCATACAGTTTTTGTGTGAGAGGTTTATTTTACTTAGTATAATATACTCCAAGTTCACCTATGTTGTAGCATATATCAGAATTTGGTTTCTTTTGGATGTTTTTTGGTTTGTTTCTTTGAGATGGAGCCTCACTCTGTTGCCTAGGCTGGAGTGCAGTGGCGCGATCCTGGCTCACTGCAACCTCCGCCTCCTGGGTTCAAGCGATTCTCCTGCCTCAGCTTCCTGAGTAACTGGGATCATAGGCGCGTGCCTCCATGCCCAGCTAATTTTTGTATTTTTAGCAAAAGACGTAGTTTCACCACGTTGGTCAGGCTAGTCTTGAATTCCTGACCTTGTGATCTGCCCACCTTGGCCTGCCAAAGTGCTGGGATATCAGGCATGAGCCACCATGCCTGGCCTTATTTTTTTTTTTTTTTTGAGATGGAGTCTTGCTCTGTCACCCAGGCTGGAGTGCAGTGGTGCAATCTTGGCTCACTGCAACCTCTGCCTCCCAGGGTTTTAAGCGATTTTCCCACCTCAACCTCCCGAGTAGTCACTGGGATTACAGGCATGTGTACCACACCTGACTAATTTTGTGTGTGTGTGTATTTTTAGTAGAGACAGGGTTTCGCCATGTTGTCCAGGCAAGTCTTGTACTCCTGACCTCAGGTTATCCACCCACCTCAGCCTCCCAAAGTACTGGGATTATAGGCATGAGCCACTGCACCTGGCCAGAATTAATTACTTTTTTTTTTTGAGACAGAGTCTTCCTCTGTCATCCAGTCAATGGTGCCATCTCAGCTCACTGCAACCTCCGCGTCCCAGGTTCAAGAGATTCTCCTGCCTCAGCTTCCCAAGTAGTTGGGACTACAGATGCGTACTACCATGCCCAGCTAATTTTTGCTATATATATTTTTTAATTTGAGACTGGAATCTTGCTCTGTTGCCAGGCTGGAATGCAGTAGTGCAATCTTGGCTCATTGCAACTTCTCCTCCTGGGTTCAAGCAATTCTCCTGCCTCAGTCTCCCGAGTAGCTGGGACTACAGGCACGCTCCACCACACCTGGCCAATTTTTGTATTTTTAGTAGAGACAGGGTTTCACCATGTTGGCCAGGATGGTCTCCATCTCTTGACCTCATGATCTGCCTGCCTCAGTCTCCCAAAGTGCTGAGATTACGGGCATGAGCCACCATGCCCAGCCTGCTTTTTGTATTCTTAGTAGAGACGAGGTTTCACCATATTGCCCAGGCTGGTCTCGAACTCCTGACCTTGTGATCCACCTGCCTCGGCCTCCCAAGGTGCTGGGATTACAGGTGTGAACCACCGCACCCAGCCCAAATTCATTACTTTTTGAGGCCAAATAATTCCATTGTATGTATATATCACATTTGTTTATCCATTTCTCCGTCTATGGACATATGGATTGCTTCAGTTCCCACCTGAATTTTGAGAATGTCCTCCTGACAGGCAGCTTTCTTGCTCTCATGGCCTAAGTTGTCACAGGCACACCCTAGACAAGGTCTTTCATCTCTTCTCAGGCTAAGTCTTAGATTCACTTCAGCTGCGGTCACTTAAAGATACAACTAGGACAAGATTTCACCTTCAAAGTCTGCACTCTAGGACTTCCCTTGCTTATCATCTGCTTGACTTGGTCATTGTACTCTAGCACACATGACTGCTTAAAGTTAATAATTAAAGTTTAGCACATTGACAGGGAGAGGTGTCAGCAATGGTGATGAGTCTCACACCAACTCAGTTACCCAGTTTATATGACAACAGTTTAAAGCATTGACTTGGGGGTCCTGGATATTCTAGGTGTCAGGGTGCTGCGATCCTCTGGAACTGTATTAGTTAATTTTATTTCATAAGTGTGCATAAAACACCTTCTATATATGGGGCTGGCATGGGGCTTGGTGCTTAAAACAATATAGATGAACAAGATCTCTGCCATCAAAGAGCTTAGAGCTTAGTGAGGAAACAGTGAAAAGTCCACAGTAAGAACACGGAGGTGCATGTACCTGGGCTGCATGCACTGCCTCTGCCTGATCCAGTCCTGACGCTGAAAAATGTGCAGATGATGAGAATATAAGCCGTGTGCCTTGATCATGATGTTTGGATACCTTCAGTTTGCCTTTTTCTGATGGGACTTTCCCCTCCTAATTTTTTATTACTTAGGGGAACACTTGGAAGCCCAGTCTTCCTCCTCATGCCCAATGTCTGACCAGAGCCCTGCACTCAGGAGAGCTTCTCACTTTGCTCAGTGTAAGTATGTGGTTCACTTTAAACTTGGGTGTGGCTTGCTGCGGAGCAGAGCTTCGAGAACATGCTGTGTCCATCTATCTCCCTACTGCTGGGGCCACTCCTTGGCTTACTGCACATGGATTATTCCCTATACCAGGTCCTTCCATTGAGGGGAGCCGATTGCAAAGGCAAAGCAGGTTGGGACTCTATACCCAAGAGCACTCAGAGGCAATCTTTGAGCATCTCTGCTGTGGCCACCAATTACAGCCAACTGCCTGTTCCCAAACCTGCTGAGATCTTTCTGCCTTCCCAGTCTGGGGTAGTCCTTAAGAGCATGGATCCTGGGGCCAGACTTCTTGGGTTTGACTCCCAGCAGCTCCACTAACTAGTAGTGTGATCTTGAACAAGTCACTTTAGCTCCTAGGGCCTGGGTTCCTCATCTATAAAATGGAGATAATATAGTACTTCTCTTGCGGTATTGCCATGAGGGTTGAGTGAGTGAGTATGAGGACAACACCTGGAGTAGTCATGCTATGTAAGTGTTAGCAATATACTCAATAGGAAACCATATGAAATACACAAAGTGAATAAGATATGGTCCTTAATTGGGAAGTTTCAGTTTAACTGGGGAGATATAAACAGCTGTGGTCATAAATCACCATAAGATAGCTAGAAGATGGTAAGTATCTTGAGAGAACACATAAAGCACCAAGGGTGTTGAGAAAAGCAAGAGATGACTTTTTTGCTGGGTGGGATGCAGAGAGGGCTTCCTGAAAGATGACTAGTGGGTAAGTAAACGTTAATATGGGAAAGGGGTATTGTTGATATAACAATATCAAATATATGTATAGAAAATTGTAAGTTGATATACCAATTTTTGTTCGTTTGCTTGTTTATTTTTGTAGAGACAGGGTCTCTCTATGTTGCCCAGGCTGGTCTAGAACTCCTGGCCTCAAATGATCCTCCTACCTCAGTCTCAAAGTGCTGGCATTACAGGCATGAGCCACTGTGCCTGGCCTGATTTTTTCTTTTTAGAGACAGCATCTTGCTCTGTTGCCCAGGCTAGAGTGCAGTGGCACAATCTTGGCTCACTGCAACCTCTATCTCCCAGGCTCAAGCAATTCTCATGCCTCAGCCTCCCGAGTAGCTGGGATTACAGGCATGAGCCACCATGCTCAGATAATTTTTGTATGTTTAGTAGAGACAGGATTTTGCCGTGATGGCCAGGCTGGTATTGAACTCCTGGCCTCAAGTGATCCACCCGCCTCAGTCTCCCAAAGTGCTGGGGTTATAGGTGTAAACCAGTGTACCTGGCTGAAGGAGCTGGCCTGATTTTTTTAAATTGGCACGTAATAACTTTAAAGTGTGGGTGCAGTGACTCATGCCTATAATTGCAGCACTTTGGGAGGCTGAGATGGCAGGATTGCTGGAGCTCAGGAGTTTGACACCAGCCTGGGAAACATGGTAAAGTCCTGCTTCTTTTCAAAATAAATTTTAAAAATAAATAAATATAATTGTACATATTTATGGGATATATAGTGATGTTTCCATACATAGGATGCATAGTGATCAGATCAAGGTAGTTAGCATATCTGTCATCTGAAACATTTGTCATTTCTTCCTGTTGGGTGATGTGCCAATTTTAATGCCAGTGTGAGTAAAACATTATCACACCAAAAGATACAAAGCTCTTTTTGCTATTTCAAGACCTCTTAGCATGGATGATCAAAAGATAACTGGCCATGTTCTTATTGTTCTTTTTTATTTTTTTCCGAAGGGGCCATTAATCCAACCTTTAACTTGAAGAGCCTTTCCTGCAGCCTGGAAGTGTCCAGGGATTTCCATACAGTGACTGTGTCTCCCCGCCCACAACCCTATCGCGGGAGTTGTGAGAGGTTTTCTACCAGCCAGGTCTTATGTTCCCAGGCCCTCTCTTCTGGAAAGCATTACTGGGAAGTGGACACTAGGAATTGCAGCCACTGGGCAGTTGGTGTGGCTTCCTGGGAGATGAGCCGTGACCAGGTCCTGGGAAGGACTACAGACTCTTGTTGTGTGGAATGGAAAGGGACTAACCAGCTCTCTGCATGGCACATGGTCAAGGAAACTGTCCTTGGCTCAGACAGACCTGGGGTGGTAGGCATCTGGCTGAACCTTGAGGAGGGGAAGCTTGCCTTCTATTCAGTGGACAATCAGGAGAAGCTTCTGTATGAGTGTACCATCTCTGCCTCCTCTCCTCTGCACCCTGCCTTCTGGCTATATGGCTTACATCCTGGAAATTACCTGATAATAAAGCAAGTAAAGGTGTAAGGTTTCCTCAGGGATTACAAAACAGTGGTTTCCTGGTTTCTCCTTCCCAGGGCAGTAACTTGTCTTAAGAATACCACTTTTGCTGGGTGCAGTGGCTCACCCCTTTAATCCCAGCACTTTAGCAAGGTCAGGAGTTCGAGACCAGGCTGACATGGCGAAAATCCTTCTCTACTAAAAATACAAAAATTAGCTGGGTGTGATGGCAGACACCTGCAATCCCTGCTACTCAGGAGGCTGAGGCAAGAGAATTGCTTGAACCCGGGAGGCGGAGGTTGCAGTGAGCTGGGATCATGCCATTGTACTCCAGTCTGGGTGACGAGCAGGACTCTGTCTCAAAAAAAAAAAAAGAATACTGCTTTTTAGATAGAGATTGGGTCTCACTAGGTTACCCAGGCTGGTGTCAAATTTCTGGCCTCAAGCAGTCCTCCCACCTCAGCCTCCCAAAGCGCTAGGATTACAGATGTGAGCCACCACATCTGGCCAAGAATACCACTTTTGAAGTTAATCCTTTTGTGTGATACAGGATTAACTCAGCTGTTATACTGAACCCTGCACATTCTAAATAAAGGACATGCCCATGCCTGGCTCCTGGGAGATAACCTCTAAGCCATTAGAATATCCTGCCTGATAAGAGTGTTTTTGTTTACCTGTGGGCCTGGGCCATGCAGTATCAGCTTGACCTCAGGAGGCTCAAGCTGAGGAGACTAAGCCATGTGGGCAGTGAAGCATGCCTATGTGACCAATCCCCCAAAACAGCCCTGGACACCACGGCATGGGTGAGCTTCCCTTGTTGGTGATACTCCATGCACACATCATTGTGGCCACACATCATTGCTGGGAGAATTAAACATTATCCTCAAGACTCTGCCAGGAGAGGATAATTGGATGTTCTCTTCGACCTTGCCTTGTGTGCCTTTCTTCATTGCTGATTTTAATCTGTGGCCTTTCACTGTAATAAACTGTAACTATGAGTACAACAGCTTTGCTGAGTTCTTTTGAGTCCATCTAGTGAATCACTAAACGTAAGGACAGTCTCAGGGATCTCCAAACATAATTTGCTACTTATCAATTGCTGTGTAAGAGTATTGCCACAAATTTAATGGTTTAAAATAACACATATTTTTTATTTCACAGTTTCTAAGAGTCAGGAGTCAGGGCACAGCTTAGCTGAGACTCCTACCTTGGAGTTTGACAAGCTGCAGTCAACATGTCAGCTGGGGACACAGGGTCAGCAGAGGCTCGACTGGGGAAGGATCTGCCTCCAAACTCACATTGTTGTTGGCAGCCTTCAGTTCCTTGTGGGTTGCTGGACTGAGGGCCTCAGTTTCTTTCTAGTTGTTGGCTGGAGACCACCCTCAGTTCCTTACCCCATGGGCCTTTGCAACACAGCTGCTTGCTTCCTCAAATCCAACAAGGGAGAAGGTCTCCTAGCGAGACAGGCACAAAATCTTACATAGATCTTACATAGCATAACCATATGAACATGTAACCATGTACATCCCATTGCCTTTGCCTTCTATTGATTAGAAGCAAGTCGCATTATCATCCACACTCAAGGGGTGGGGATTACACAAGGACATGAATCCCAGGAGACAGGGCTCATGGGGGCCTCCCTACGGTATGTCTGACACAGCGTATTATTTCACACTTGATTTCCCCTGTTTTTAAAAACCGTTTTATTAACATAAGAAAACATGTAGAAAACTACATGAAACGTGGAGCTTAATGAGTTATTATAAGGTCAACAAATACCCTTGTAACTATCATTTAGGTCAAGAAATAGAACCTGCTACCCTTGCCAAAAGCTCCTTCTTGTGCCCTATTCTAATCACAAAACCCTCCCTATGCCTGAAAGGAGTCTTGACTTTCACACTAATCACTTCCTTGCATTTCTTTAGAGTTTTATCCCTCAAATATGCATCCACAGCCACATTAAAAAATGGTAGTTTCATCCTACCCATTAAAAAAAAATTGGTGTGTCCTTTCCTGTAACAGCTTTGTTGGGAATATTATTTATTTATTTATTTTTATTTTGGATCTCACTCTGTCACCCAGGCTGGAGTGAGTGGTGCGAATCTTGGCTCACTGCAACCTCCACCTCCTGGGTTAAAGCAATCATCATGCTTCAGCCTCCTGAGTAGCTGGGATTACAGGTCTGAGCTACAATGCCCAGCTAATTTTTGCATTTTTAGTAGAGATGGGGTTTCGCCATGTTGCCCAGGCTGGTCTCAAACTCTTGAGCTCAGGCAATCTGCCTACCTCAGCCTCCCAAAGTGCTGGGATTACAAGCATGAACTGCTGTGCCTGGCCTACATATAATTTACATACTGTGAAATTCACTTATTTAAAGTGTACAAATACATGGTTTTTTTAGTATATTTACAGAGTTATAAAACAATCACCCTAATCTAATTTTAGGATATTGTCATCACCCCAAAAAGAACCCTCGTACCCATTATCATTTGATATCTCTTAGTCTCCTAATCTCTCTCTCTCTCTCTCTTTTTTTTGTCTTACAATTCATCTGTAGAAGGACCCTGGTCTTGACTAGCACCTATTCCCAAGATGGAGACATTCAGCTCTTGAACTAGGTTGAAGAGAAAGCCCTGTCATGCAAACCAGCCAGGCAGTTTTTGACAGTATATTTAAACTCTTCTTGCCTTTCTTTTCCCCTCTCAAATGGACATCATTATTATTTGCCCTTCCTTACCTTCCTCACAGGATTGCTGAAGGAATTAAATAAAGTAGGAGGTGAGGAAATCAAAGAATACAAAGGCAATGGTAATTGCAGCAGCCATGACGAAATTACATCTTAATATCACTCACCTTGGCCTCTCACATCCTGAGACTCACACCTAATTTCTATACAGGATCAATCACTCCTTCAAAACAGGGCAAGCAGAATTCTTCATCATGGTCTACTAATATACTTTCTGAGTCTCACCTCTGCCCTGCTTGATGGGTATTACTACCTTTTTGTTGCTGCCTAAGGAAGCAGAGGCCAGGACAGGTGTGGGGGTTTGTCCAGGGTTGATCAGCCAGTCATGGCAGAGCTGGAACCAGGCCCAGTTTTCTTTCTTACTTTTTTTTTTTTTTTTTTGAGATCAAGTCTTCCTCTGTTGCTCAGGCTAGAGTGCAGTGGCATGATCTCGGCTCACTGCAACTTCTGTCTCCAGGGTTCAATTGATTCTTGTGCCTCAGCCTCCCAAGAAGCTGGGATTATAGGTGTGCGCCCCCAGTCTTGGCTAATTTTTGTATTTTTAGTAGAGACAGGGTTTCACCACATTGTCCAGGCTGGTCTCGAACTCCTGACCTCAAGTGATCCACATGCCTCGGCCTCCCAAGTGCTTGAAATACAGACATGAGCCACTGTACCTGGCTGGTTTTCTCATCCTGGAGTTTCTCCCCTCATTACTCCCCGATGAGGTCCTATGCTAAGGTCAGGATGTGGCCTTCTGCTTTGAGGGGACACAGCCAGCCCTAAAGTCATAAGATACCCTTTCCTTCTGGTTTTGGTGACTGTCCTTAGTATAGTGGCCTTGAGTTGTCTAAGCAGGGACAGAGCTTCCCTGTTTGTGCCAAGTGACCACTAAGAAGCTATGGATGGCCAGGCACGGTGGCTTATGCCTTTTGGTGGCTGAGGTGGGCGGGTCACCTGAGGTCAGAAGTTTGAGACCAGCCTAAACAACATGGTGAAACACTGTCTTTACTAAAAATACAAAAATTAGCTGGGCATGGTAGCACACACCTGTAATCCCAGCTATTTGGAGGCTGAGGCAGAAGAATCACTTGAGCCTGGGAGGCAGAAGTTGCAGTGAGCCATGATCATGCCAGCCTGGGTGATTCATTGAGACTCTGTCTCAAAAATAAATAAAATGAGACCCGGCGCAGTGGCTCACGCCTGTAATCCCAGCACTTTGGGAGGCCAAGTGGGAGGATCACAAGGTCAGGGGTTCGAGACCAGCCTGGCCAATATGGTGAAACTATGTCTCCACTAAAAATACAAAAATCAGCCAGGTGTAGTGGTGGGTGCCTGTAGTCCCAGCTACTTGGGAGGCTGAGGCAGGAGAATCGCGTGAACCTGGGAGGTGGAGGTTGTAGAGAGCTCAGACTGTGCCACTGCACTCCAGCTTGGGCTACAGAGCAAGGCTCCATCTGAAAAAAAAAATAATAACAAAAAAATAAATAAACAAATAAAAAGAAGCTATGGGCCCTATCTTTCTGCATCAAGGAGCTCTTATCTTCTCACCCAGAGTTAACTTTGATGTTTGCCTTTTGTGCCAAGATTCAGAGTTTGGAGTGCGGGATTTTAGCCTCTTGAGGTTCTTTGGTTATTGTCCTCTCAGACAGTGTTTATCGCAATGAGGCCTCTGTGAGTGTGGGTTTTATCTGCCAGCCACATGATGTCCCCATGCTGGGGCCAAGGCACTAGAATCAGAACGATAGGAAAGACAGGAAGGCTATCACTTTTGACTCCCTTGCTTTTGGCTTGCACTTTGTGTCAGCGTATCTCTTCCAGGATACTGTAGAACATAGTGTCCTTCCCTCAAACCAAACATAAAATCTCCAAAGGAGAATAACTAAAGCTGAAATGCCAGAGGATGAAGGACCTCTCACTGGAGTCTGCACTGTGGGGCTGAGGAAATCTCTGCCCATGGACCAAGCCAGAAAGACTTTCCTTGGGGACTGTCTTAGTCCATTTGGGCTGCTTTAACAGACTCCCATAGACTGGGTGGCTTACAAAAAAACAGAAATTTATTTCTCTGGGCACGGTGGCTCACGTCTGCAATCCCAGCACTTTGGGAGGCCAAAACAGGAGGATCACTTGAGTCCAGGAGTTCAAGACCAGCCTGGACAACATAATGAGATCTTCATCTCCACAAAAGCATTATATATGCTTTTTTTATATAAAGCTGATGGTGATGGCATGTGCCTGTAGTCCCAGCTACTCTGGAGGCTGAGGCTGGAGGACTGCATGGGCCCAGGAGGTCAATACCATAGTGAGCTGTGATCATGCCACTGCACTCCAGCCTGGGTGACAGAGCAAGACCATCTAAAAGAAAGAAAGAGAGATAGAGAGAGGGAGGGAGGGAGAGAGCAAGAAAGAGAGAGGAAAAAAGAGAAAAGAAGAGAAGAGAAGAGAAAAAAGAAATTTATTTCTCACAGTTCTGGAGGCTAGGAAGTCCAAAATCAAAGTGCTGGCAGATTTGGTGTCTAGTGAGGGAGCTCTTAGGAGTCCCCCACTTTTTTTTTTTTTTTTTGAGACAGAGTCTCACTCTATCACCCAGGCTGGAGTGAAGTGGCATGATCTTGCCTTACTGCAACCTCTGCCTCCCGTGGTCAAGCAATTCTCCTGCCTCAGCCTCCTGAGTAGCTGGGATTACAGACACCTGCCACCACACCTGGCTAATTTTTGTATTTTTAGTAGAGACGGGGTTTCACCATGTTGCCTAGGCTGGTCTTGAACTCCTGACCTCTGGTGATCCACCCTCCTCGGCCTCCCAAAGTGCTGGGATTACAGTCCCTTTTATAAGGTCACTAATCTCATTTGTGAAGGCTCTATATTCATGACCTAATCACCTCCCAGTACCATTGCATTGGGGGTTAGAATTTCAGTACATGTAGTTTGGGAGAATGTGAACCTTCAGTTTACAGCAGAGACACACAGGCCCTGGGAAAGCACCAGGAACTCCTTTAGCAGCTTCTTGCCCTAACTGGGGTCATTTCTGTCAAAAATTTGTTTTCTGTCAGGGCTTGTCTCTCTTAAGTGCTTTTTTTGCTGGGGGTTGGGGAGAATGGAGCGTCCTCATCAATGCCGTGGGCTGCTTTTCTTCTCTTCTCTTGCACCTTACACATTCTGGTCAGGCAGATGCTGGATAGTTCTGTTGAATCCACTATTAGGTCTGGGGCTTTGGGTTCCTGGTAGACCACTTGCTAAGCAGGAAGCCACCATCTTGTTAGGCTTGAGGAATC